CTTGATTAAATTGATTATTTCTAGGACTTCTCGCTTATACACCATCTAAGTATATAATCTATAAAAATAAATTTAAAGTTTAAGTTAAAGATAATACAGTAATATTGTATAACATAATAATCGTATGTAAACATTACGCAGAATAGAAAGAAAAATTGTCTACTTACATAATTCGGTAGAATTTTATCGTCTAATTGTGCTATTTCATCATTCCATGCTATGATTTGGACTCGTTTACCAGTTCCGTTGTTTAAAAAAAACTTGTATATTTTGTATTGTTGTTTGTTTCCAACGAAACGAGATGCCTCAATACCGTCTACATATCCAATAATCTCTCTATTGAATAAATGATTTGTAAAAGCATGTAAATATATGAATATTATATATAATTAGTATAAAAGTACTTACACCGTTGAGTCGTATATTTTTATATCATCAAACACCTCGTTTGAACTTAATATTTCATTAATATTTACATCTTTTAAGTCACTTATTTCTTCATTAATAGAAAGAGAATCCATCTATTAATAATATTAATAGATTTAATTTTTTTATTAATAACTTAATAACAATTTGAAAATTAGAAGCATATAACAAATAATTATTTTAATTTTATTTATATTAAAGTTTAGAATAAATATAAATCAAAAATAATCCCTGGAGTGTTCTCTCTCTCTCTCCTCCCCTCTCTCTCCCTCTCTCACACTCTTTCTCTCATCCACTCTCTCTTTTTCTTTCTCTCTCTCCCTCTCTCTCTCTCTCTCTCTCTCTCTCTCTCTCTCTCTCTCTCTCTCTCTCTCTCTGTCTCTCTCTCGGATTCTCTCTCTCACATCTCTCTTTCTCTGTCCCTTTCTTTCTCTTTCTCTGTTATCCTACCCAGACAGCATTAATGTCCAAAATCAGGACATAAGCCGTTTTTAAGAAATGTTTAGAAGATGTCTTAAAGACGTCTTATGTCCCAGTTTCGGACATTTTGTTTGGGGTGTGCCGTTTGGAATATATTAATATATTTTATATATATATTTTAATTTTACTCTTATAATATCGGAGAGATGTCACGGCGATGCTTCTATCTTGCTGATATTCGTACAAATACCTATTGTTTTATTGACATATATCCCTATAGCAACCATATATATATATATTATGGAAAAAATGAGAATATGTTATATATATAATATGTTATATATATAATATGTTATATATATATATATGTTAATATATATAAAGATTTACGTTATTAGATAATAACATATTCAAATAATATAATATATATAATGTATCGCACTTACATACGTACGATACAGTATTACGATAGATACCTACGATAGATTGCCTATCCATAACCGCGTGCGTCCAAATAAACAATCAAAGCATTTATCGACAGATATTAGCATATTTTTACATCGAAGTTGCTGTTTTTTGAATTATCATAAGTTTATCGGGTTTGCATTATTATCTGTTAGAAAGTCGAATAATATTGTACTTATAAAATATATAAAAATATAGACACGAAAGCCATGGGCTTAAGTGATACAATTAAAATTACGAATTTCTCATAATTTCTTTACTGTTCTTTAACGTTATTGTAAACTTCGGCAAAAATTGGAGATTTCGAAAAAGAGGAAAGGAAACATATTATAAGCCTCAAACAAGTATGCAAAATGAATAGATTTTCGATGAACAGATTAATTATAACATAAGTTAATGATCACAACTTAACCGATGATCATTTTAAATACAACAAATTTTCGAAATATATTTTCTAAATTTTACGGAGAGAAAATTTATTCGAAATGAATGAAAATATTACCATGGTAACCGTATGAGCATATATTCCACTCATGTTTATAATATATTCTGAATGAATACATGAGTTGTAATCATTAACTTATGATGAATTTGAAATTAATTCATACTTTTGCAAAATTGAATGAGGCTTATAATGTTTTCTTTTTATTCTTCTCAAAATCTCCAATTTATATCAGTTTATTATAGGTGGCAATTATGCTAAAAAAACGGTAAAGTAATTATGAGTAATTTGTAACTTTACTTATATTGCTATTGCTATTATTATATTGCTTAAGTACATAGCTTTCGTATACTTATATATATACGAGGGCAGTCTGAATAGTTTTGAGCCTCAACATGAAGATGGTTCTACTCGTTAAAACCATTCTGGTACTACAATGGTATATGCTTTGAAATATGACTGTGAAAATTTCAACCATTTTGGACGCTCAGTTGTAGTTAGACAGTCGCTTGCATCAGTCGATGTCAATTTTTGTAAAAATGGAAAAAATTGAATATCGTGTCGTGAGTAAATTCTTGCATTTGAAAAGCAATACGCATGCGCACAAATTGCACTTCGAATTGATTAACGACCTACCGTATTCACCAGATCTGGCCCCTAGCGACTTTTTCCGAGTTTCATCGAACGAAGAGGTCATCGCATACTTAAACACCTATTTTGCGGAACAAGACGCCAACTACTATTTGGAAGGGTTAAAAAGGTTAGAGCATCGCTGGGAAAAATGTATCGACTTAAAAGGAGACTATGTTGAAAAATAAAACTACATTCGACCGAAAAAATACTTGTTTCTATATTAGGTTCAAAACTTTTCAATCTGCCCTCGTATATATATATGTATATATTTTATAAATACAATATTATTCAACTTCCTAACAAATCATGATGCAAACCTACTGAATTTATAATAATTCAGAAAATGACAACTTCAATGGAAAAATATGCTAATGCCTATTGATAAGTATCCTAATTTATGACGCGCGCGGATATGGGCAGATAACCCGTTGTATTGAATTGTATGTAAATGTAACACCCTATATGTACGTATATATGATATTATTTTATAAATACTTTTTAATTAATATTGTATAATATTTTACAAAAATAATATTGAATAATACTATTGTTAACTTGCAATAAATATGTTGGAACATATTGAAAATCTTAAGTTATTTTCTTGCTGAAACACTACCATGGGTGTTTACATTATCCATAAAAACGTTCATTATCCGTAAAACATCCATAACGATACTTAATGCATACTTAATGGTCAAAATTGACATTATTTATTATTATTTTTTTATTCATTTATAATAAGTATTAACTTTACTTATTAAAATGAGAGAAAAAAAAAATACGAGAAATTGAGAAAAAATTAAAGAAAATGAAAAATGCAAAAGAATATGTTTGAAAGAATAAGGAAGAATAAGAAAGAATATTATGTAATATTTATTTTAAATATAAAAAAATGTTAAATAGTACGCACGTAGTACGCGCTTCTGTAATGTTTTATATTATTATAAATATAAATAACTAAAAATTGTAATATGTTTCACATTTAATTTAATGATAATTTTTGTGCCTGAAATTCATATTTTTTTTGCATATATGATCAGTATTCACACATAGCAATCTATATTACATGTTCTTATATATCATGTAATATTTATTTTAAATAAATATAAAAATATTAAATGGCGCGCGCGAAGCACGCGCCTGTAAATGTTCTAGTTCTTTAAAAATATGATGTACTGAATTTGTAAGTATATTAAATCTATCTCTTGCTGCTAGAAAAGTTACTGGTCTGCTTAATAACCATATTGTGAATAATACTTTTTTTGGAGAGGTGCATATTCATTTGCATGTCTTGCAAGATGTTGTCCAATAACATTTGACAAATTCCATTAAATAAAAATAAAAGTACAAAATATAATTAATTAATCACTGCTACAAATAGTTATTCTCTAGATACATATAGCTATTCTCTAGAAAATTAAGTTTAGTTGTAAACTCATATTTGGTATTAAATTGTACAAAATTGATTAAATAATTTTCATAATTGTTTCATGTATATAGTTGCTTACTTCGCAAGTTGCTCTGTTTATTCTAAACATTTCTTTAAACTGGTCCTGTGTAAATCTAGGAATGTTGCCTCAAAATAATGCAAATTACGACGTTTTATTCGGGCACGACATTTTTTAAAATTAAGATTGATATCAGGTCTTATTAATGATTGTATAATGTTGTCTAAATTATGCATGGGTATTCCACCATCTTCCGCAAATAATAACATTAATTTAACAGCTATTGATTTCATTTTAACTGTATATACCTGAAACTTTAATTTTTAATAACTTTATTATCTATACATTATCCGCACATAGATTATATATTGTCAGATTATACATATTTTTCACTGTATTATTATAATTTACGTGTAAATATACAATTCTACTGTTAATCCTAACCTTATTCACTTTTCAACACATTGGAAGTAGCCATCTTTATAAGTAGCGATATCGCAAACGGATCATTCAGTGGAAAATTCATAGCGGAATTCGATCCATCGGAAACAGATGTCTCAATTGTTGAGTCTACTGAATGTAGCCAATGGTTGCATTCAGCAGACTCAACAGTTGGACAACATTACTAAATTTTCCACTGAATCTCGCTCCTCATTGGTAAATACTTCTGGGTCTATGAAGAATCTAAAAGAATGCTCCAATCACAAACAATAATCACTAAGCGCTCTCTGATCACTTTGGCCGCGTTCAGTAGAACAAAGTGATCAGAGAGCGCTTAGTGATTATTGTCTGTGATTGGAGCATTCTTTTAGATTCTTCATAGACCCTGAAGTATTTACCAATCAGGAGCGAGATTCAGTGGAAAATCTAGTAATGTTGTCCAATTGTTGAGTCTGTTGAATGCAGCCTTTGTTCTACTGAACGCGGCCAATGGCTGCGTTCCGATATTCACTAGGCCTGTTCGTTTTGTCTGCACTGCTGAACTGGTGCAATAAATTAAAGTGAGACAAACGTAGGTTTTCTCACTCTAACTTGTTGCACCAGTTCAGCAGTGCAGACAAAACGAACAGGCCTACTGTCAGTACTGAAAATACATAGTTTATGTCACGTATACTATAGATTTTCAATGCTGGCAGTGAATATTGAAATGCGGCCAGTATCTCGTCGGTGCGCATAGTTTTCCGCGTATATTTTAAATTCGTAAACTGTTGTGTCGTGCGAGTTCCAATTTGCCGGAAATTCGCTTCTCATCGACTACCAGTGGATTCGCGATCAAGAAAAATTGTCCGCTGCTACGTGATTGTTCCCGTATAATTCCAGTTTTCCAGTGAGTACCTGCTTTACTAAGACGTTTCTCTACCCGTGAAACCGGTGAACATAACCTATTAAAATGTCTTACAAAGATAAACTTTCGCAATTTTTGGGGAAATTTCGCTTTATTGAGAAGCGTTCCGTAGGAACGACGTGCAGGATTGATACATCAGAAAGTCCACAACACTTTGGAAGAGATTTAGAATTGTACGTTTTTATTAACTCGTAAACTCTCGCAATCATAACAGATTTCAGTATAACGATCGCTAGAGCAGTGCTGAAAAACTAAGTGTATCATATATTTAGTTTCATCTTTATCTTATTATTTAAAATGTCCAAACATGTGGAAAACATTAGTTAATTATTAAGTAAAAGTCATAAAGGCTATGCTAATGAGTGGATTAAACTGCGAACAGTCAAATTATCAAAAGCACATACAATATTAGAGAAACAATTGTTATAGAGTTTTGAGAAGTTAACAACATGAATTATCTTTCGAAGCCAACAGTGTGCTTTCGACAGAAAACGTACAATGTACATAAATGTCAATACACATGCACATGTTACAGGTACATTTTTTTGCAAGCATGCCAATTAGAGGATTTTACTATAATATATAGGTATATATATATATATATATATATATATATATATATGATCAACATAGGCCACCCTCATATTCATCTTCCTCCTCATCCTTTTTTTGCACTGGTGGTGGCGCAGAAGCACCTAGCTCTGCCTTCTTTTCTGTCGGTTGATTAGCCGCATGATTAACTTCCGCTTCAACTGTGGATTGACCCGAAGCTTTTGATGCGTTAGGAGACACATAAGATTCTGCAGCATTTGCCCTCACTCCAGCAGGTGGGACAGAATACTGCTGCTGAGGTAGAGACAAGCCCCGTGCCAATTTAGCATATTCCACATCCATGTGTTTGATAAAAGGACTATTTAATGCCGCCCTAGCCGAATCCGCGTCCTCGTTATCGTACGCTTGAAGCAACGTCTCCAACGTTTGCACCTAAATTCAACAGGCGAAGCTTACGATACTCAAAAAATTCGTGGAGAAAGAATTCTCTGTTGGTAATTGAATATTGCAATCCCTCAAATTAAATGTTTCCAAATTCCGTATACCTCGGGAGATTCGCAGTAGTTGCCCCATTCCTTAAATGCTTTCTCCGCCGCTACTTGGTCATCCCGCGCCAACTGCACCAGCACTAACGCCACGGTTAGTCGGCCTATGGACTGCCAGTGCTTTATCTGCTGATGCATTCCGATCTCTCGACGTATAGCATCCGCCGCTTCGTCGTACCTCTGCAGCTTCACCAGCAATCTCGCAGCCTTGCTCATGTACTCGGCCGCATGCCGTGGGCTGTCCTCACCCTTGAGAGAATGAAACAGTCATTAGCTGATTACTGACAGTTCTTGACAGTTTTTTACAAATTACTCGCATTCAAAATATTCACTCACCATTACTATGTCAGCTGCGCGTTTGAACAGCTCCAAGGCTTGTTCAGGCTGACTAGCTTCTAACATCTTTGCCGCCTTGTCGAGAGTAGTTACACCAGATTCAGGAGAACCATGTTGCTGAAAGAGACTACAAGCACTGTGGGCCAACTGAGATACACTCGACAGATCTCCCATTTCCTTGCTAATGAGCAAAGCCTGCTCAATAGTCCTAAAAATATTGTGCTTTTATAATATCAAACAGCATTGCACAATGAAATTTGAAGTATACACGATACATACTTTGCAGCATGGAACCATCTTTATTGCAGTAAGTTTTGTTTTAAGGAGAATGGATAGAAGTATTAACTTGTTTGAAAATATACAATTCTCAATTTATGAAAACATAATAAAAATATAATAAATATTGGTTATATAAATGATATCAATATTACAGTAAAATAATATTACACATAAATACATATACATGTAACAGAAATGACATTTCCAAATTAAGAAATTCAAATTAAAAAATAGAATACAGATTCATCACATTCACAACTCAGATTTGTATACTTGAAATTTAGAACACTTGTCACATTATATGAATTAAAGGATACGACCTGGTCTGTTTGTAACAATCACCCGCTTTTATCCAACACTCTTTGCACTCTTTATACGACTTGGCTACTCGGAAACATGTAGCTAACACAGAAAAACCCATCGATATAATCAATGTCAGGCTTGCAGGAAATAGTTCAGTGCAAAGTTTCACACGAAAAGGTTTGACTCTCTTCGTTTTGAACTTATCACGATATGCTTTACTTTCTGACGTTTGTCCTCATTTTTCACTCACCCGCATTTGAATACTCATCAGCTGCCACCTCGAAATCAGGTCGCCATTTCAGTAAAGTCGTCTTCAAGCTGCGAAATATTCGTTTGACATACAATAGAGAACACTATGCGACTTAAACGCGTGAGGTCTTAGTCGAAAGTTTGACAGTTGAAAGATATCGCAGCGCGAGAACCGAGAACTGTCATGAAGCGAGATGAAAACATTCGCGCGAGAAAGAGAGTAACGAATCGTAAATGCGCTTACGCTTTCTCGGCCTGCCGTATGTGCTCGGTCGCCTCTTCGATCTTTGACATTTTCCTCCGAATGGTGTCTTCGTTTTCCTCGTCGTTTTCACTAAACTAATAACTGCGACGGAATTGTGTCGATTCCGGGGCAAACCACTCACTTTCGTCACATATAGTACGGACACCGAAATCTTTATGATCTTTATCGTCCATGTAGACGGCGTTCTCGAGATCGCAAAGTGTACGAGGAAAATGATCGGCGACAATTACGCAATCTACTCCACGTTCGGCGTATTAGATCCCTCGCACGATGGAGTCACCCTCGTGTGTGTAGTAGCGTCAGTAGGTCCGTCCAAGTTTATGCCTGGGCTTTGTTTTCATTCGTTTAAATTTCTAACCTGTAATTGCATTGGCCATAAAGGAGCAACCGCGTTATTATAATTCGCGTTTACTGCGGCTCTTCGTCTGACTCGAAGAACTAAATCTCCCCTATTAACATTGTTGCACTCACACACATTTCGTGATGTGAACAGTCTTGGGAATCACGTTGGCGGGAAAAATCTAACCTGATTTTAGTCCACCGAGATTGAAGGTATTGACAGATAGATTGAGGCATATTTTAAGCGTTATATTTTCAAGCGACAAAAATAATTTCATTTTTCATTTAATGTTACTCTCGATGTAGCTCACAAGTAGCTTACAAGTATTACGACATATTCATTTGGCCCTGCGCTTTCTAACGATATCAAATGGCCGAGAAATTGGAAGACCTGAACTTGCCCAATGCTGTGGTTACTAGGATCATAAAAGAAGCCTTGCCTGATGGAGTTACGGTCGGGAAAGACGCTAGGACGGCAGTAGCGAAAGCTGCATCTATTTTTATATTGTATCTCACATCGTCTGCCAATATAATAGCCAAGAAAGGAAATCGTAAAACCATCAGTGGTCAAGATGTGATCCAAGCAATGATGGATATTGAGTTTGATCAGTTCGTTGATCCGCTACAGGAATCATTGGAAAATTTCAAGAAGGCTCAGAAAGAAAAGAAAGATGCTACATCAAAGAAGAAGCAACAGAAGAAGGACGAAGATGATGCAGGGGAGGAAGAAGATATCTCCGGGAAAGAAATTACAGTTTTCTGATGCATATGATTGAGCCGAGCTTGTTGTATCTTATTACCTAAATTATTAAAAGAGAAAGAAACAAGTCGAGTAAGAAGATAAAATCATGTGTGAATCAAAATAAAAATCATATATTGATATGAAAAAGAGAATGTTTCTTTTATATCTCGTTATTTATGTGCAACATTGTTCTACATTAGGTTAAAATTGTTTAAATACTGAATGAACGAATAAGTGACTTGCAAACGAGATTTTTACTATATTATTCAACAAGAAATTTGTTCACAATCAATTGACATAACCAATATATAGAAAGAAGAAAACACTAGAATTTAAATTTCACTTGTGAAATTTAAATTACCAATAAGGCTCGATTCGAAGGTGTTTTCACGTAATTATTTATCAAAATTTCGTCGTATAAATTATCATTTATAAAAGCTTATGCATAGCGCTGGTCTTCTTCCATCATCGCGCTCAACTACAAACAGATCTTAGGATCGTTTCTGTTGTTCGAGTTCTTCCAAGTATGTCTATATTCTGTAATCTATAAGATATGTTTGCAATCCACTTATATAAACTATGTGTACCGTTTGTAGTCAGTCGAGATTACGTTGAGACACAAAGTGCCACCAGATCTGATCACCTTCGAATAGTATTTCGTCTATACCACTTAAATGAGTTAAAGTGCATGTGTAAAAAGACTACATTCGAGTATATTCGTGGAACGCTATTTCGACTATTTTTAGGTTAGTGTTATCTCTAAGATAAGTAAAATCGATATATCAAACCTGGTCAAAGGAAAAGATTTGTTCTTGTGGCATAAAACGATAACATTGGTGTACTTTATACAAACGTTACATTACCATGCAGTGGTAGATATAACTGTTGTGCGCGTTATATTTTCCACTATTATGGAAATAATCGGTCCGGGGATGTATATATGTATGTGTGTAATCACAGATCAGGAAGAAGCATTTTTATGCGATTGCGAGATTGGAGAGAAATCATTCGCAGAATTAGTCAAACAAAACACCATTCACGTTCCGCGAGTTCAAGGCTGCACAACGCGAACTTTGCGTTCAATGGGGCTTCTGCACATCGGACACTCCGCGAGAATTTTATCTGCACACGCGGAACAACAGCACAGATGTCCACAAGGTAGAAAAATCACCTCGCACTGTAAAAAAAAGAGAGGATAATTGAGAAAACAATTGAAGTTATTATCAGCTGCAGATTTGAAGTAATGTAGAAAATGTATATTGAAGAGACACATACAGAGAATGTGTATGGCTATAAATGCACACCATTCTCTTATGTTTTAAATTAAAGGAGATTGAAAATTAAAATTCTACGAGAGTTAAATTAAGGAAGACATACTCCATGATAAAAGCTCCAGTTTGACAAGCGATATGATGATAACCATATAATGTATTTTGAAAAATATGGATCTTGAGAACACGAGGAGAGAATCAAAATTATTTATAGCGAATATAGATTTTACTCACCTGTGAATCGAGGCAAATTACACATTCTGTCATGTTAATGTTTTGAATAAAATTGCAGTCCTGACTACTAGTCGAAGCCTCTTCGGGTGGCGCGGAAGGCGTTAGCGGTGATCGAGTAGATTCATTCAGCTTCACTTCCGCTAGGTAATTCTCCACCGCCAACATTATGGCGGCGCGGTCCTTCTCGCAGCTTATACCGATCTGCGAAACGAGAGAAACGTAAAACACAAGATGATTGAAACAATTGAAACAAATACAAGAGATATGGTGTACACGAGATTTTCTTCGTAGACTTCTCCAAAGCATTGATAGTTTTTACTTGAGATGGAAATTTACCGAAATACTCGGATTTATATTTTGAGTTAGTTTTGAATTTTTATGTCAAATCATACAATAAACGTAACATTACACCGTGATTCAACTGAAAAACTCACATCTAACTGTGCATTCAAACGTGTCTCACTTGAGACAAGTTTCGAGGAACGACTATCGATTAGTGATTAAAAAATTTCCCTAATTAGTATCCCATTGATCTTCGGAAACATACATCATTTAGTTGCTCGTCGCTGATATCCGGTAACAAGGATGGCAATGCAGCCAAGAACGGAAGACAGTGCAGTGCTCCCGCGATCGCGACGTGTCGAACCAGCATGGGTTCCAGCATTTCCAGCAGGCCTTGCGGTCGCGCTTCCATCAAGGACTGATACTGCATTAGCCAGAACAAACTGCCGCGTCTGGCATTCTGTCAACATTTCGCCATTTATCATCTTCCACCGTTTGTCAAAAATGCTTCGAAAAGAGGAAAAGAGATCATTACAGAGATGCATCGTTGTTGCTCTATAGTATTTATCGTCTCCAGCAGCTGATCTCTTCTAGCCTTTTGCTGCTCCAGCAAGTCCACCAGAATAGCCGTCAGGGCCACGCGTCTGTCGGCGATTTCGTTCTACAAGGAAAAATGATAACAGAACAAGCATTATATTTTGTCAGGGTTGGGAAGTATAACTCATTACTTGTAACGAAGTTATAGTTACAGTTTTTTTCTCTCTCTTTTTTTTTGTAACTATAACTTCGTTCCGTTTTTTCCATCTATAACTATAAGTTAACTTAGTTACATTTGCTTGATAACTAGGACTAATTTAATAGTTACTTTGATAGTTACTTTATATATTTCAAACTCAAGTTTCTGGCAGACCAGCACGATAACGCAACGTATGATGCTTCATATCTGATAAGCATACAGTTATTCTGACTGCATTTGGACAATGCGCTCGTCAAAATTGCGTCATTTATCGTTCATTAGATATAAAACAAGGATAAAATGACGCAAGAGCGCTGATAGTCTCCTCTCCGAACGCAACCTGTATTTCTTTCAAAAAATTGTACACCTATTGGACATTTCCGTCGCGCGTCGCCAGTCCTAATTTATTAACATAATCTACGTTCAGCGTGAAGTGCGCTGCGTGGTTCCAATTATATAAAAAATTCAAGCAATGGATAAAACGTCTCAATCTACGGAGAAGGATTGTAAAATGCCATGGCCATCATATGCAGAAATATTCGAGTTACAGCAAAAATTTGGAAACGAGAACAACTGGGCATTTTTCTGCAAAATTTACACTGGCAAACAAATTATTCATGCAAGTAGAACTATTCTTCAACTATAAATTTAAGAAAATATATAAGTACAAGTCTTTATTTACAAAATATCAATATATTTTTTAATGAAAAAATCTAATTTTGATGTTAAAATTATTTTTAATTTTTTTAGTATTTATTATCCTCATCAAATTCATTCACTTTCTTATAATTGTTATTAATAGTCTTAAAGAATAAATATGACTTGCTTATTTAAATTAATGAATCTAATTTGTAAAAATTATATACAATATGAGGAATATAATAATCAACAAACTACTTTTATATAAAACTGAAGGAATTTACACAATTACGAAATTTAAAATAATAGCACTATTATTGTAAAAAAGTAACTGAAAAGTAACTCGTTACTTTCTAAATAACTATAACTATAATATATTATTTTTGAAGGTCAGTAACTTGTAACTGCAACTAGTTATTTTTTTAGTAAAAAAACTGTAACTAGATACTTTTACAAAGTAATTTTGTGAAACAAAGTAAACTCTGTATCTTGTATCAAGGCTCTCAAATATTCAATCGCTGAGAATTATAGGCCAATAAGAGCTGCACAAAGATGTTCATATCAAATAAATTTTTTTTTGTTGAAGCTGTACACTCACGAGCTGCTGATTGATCTCCAGCTTCTTCCTTTCCAGTTCAATGGTAGTGAGCGCCGCCAATTGCGATTGCACTAGATTCACTTGCTGAACGATGCTCCAGGAACGCGCGTCGCTGCGTTCCAAGAGTGTTGCGACCGCTGCTTTCTGCAGGACCTCGTCCTGCCGCAGCCTGTCGATGAGATCCTGTCGATTCTTCTCTTGGTCATGCACTATTTGTGCCAAATGGTCGTTGTTTCTCACCTCCCTGAGACAGTTCGCATTTTATCTTCACTGATCCGCTTTTAAAAAGCGTAATCGGACGTAAAGAATTGAACAAATTTCAAACTATTACTAACAATGTGAGCAGCGATTGCGCGGTATAGTTCCTATATTTCGTATATTCCTCCAGCTTCCTCGCTTTACACATCTCTTCCTCCAGCAACTTCTCCATTGCAACTGCAAAACAGAATCTGTTCATGTATATTCATGTGCCGATAACCTCACAAAATGTGTGTCTGTTCTTCTATCCAATGCTCACAGAGGGTATCCTTTGTACGTAGCATGAACTGCTCCGAATGGCACGAACTCAACAGACGCATCTCCTCTCGCTTCTCTCGCTCCAGTAATTCCGCCTGGCTCTGTCTCTCCCCCTCGCTGTTTCTCAGAAACTCTTGAATCACGTTATCGGCCTCTTTCTCGGCTAAACAACAATCATCTCCGTTTTTAACAAGCTGCGCATCTCCCACCTTGCAAAATTCCTCGAGAATAATCGGAAATAACTGTACCGTCGTAGATGTATAAAAGTAAACGCGTCCTGTTCGTGTCCCTTTCCTGCTGCACTTTCTCCAGTTCCTGCTCCAATTGTATCTGCTGCAGTGCCAGATCCTCTAACAGCTGGAAACACATATCTTTTAGTTTAAGATGTTTCTCATCTGTTCGACGCAATCGAGTGTAGTTGTTAGTAATGACGACAATCATAAAAATAGAAGCAGCATATGCCGCTTGATCTCAGTATAAAATTTTAAAGCGTGTCGTCACAAAGATGTTTTATAATAATCACTTTCTTTCTGTGAGCCTTGAGCATGGATTGCACTTCTATCTCATATTCCTGCTGCTGTTTTATGTTCTTCTCCACTTCCAACAAAGCGTTCTGCCGATGTTCCTGTCGAGAGTGATTTTTACTATTACAGCAAACTATACTAGGACACTTAAGACATTTCTAAACTCACAAACGTGCATTTAATCACTCGTTATTGCTCGCGCAAAGAAAATAATCACAGGAAGGGAATAAATTATAAAGGCGAGCAAATTATAAGTAAATACGAAAGGAATGTAAGGATTGAGAAGCGTACGAAACTCAAAGAAGCATCCAACATGCCTTGATTTTGTCTAGCTTCTGTAACACTGCCTAAAAGAAAAACAAACAGAGAAACGGTGAATACGTCATCGAAAGCGCACGCTGTGCGGCAATTGTGCATACCGTAGAGACAATTTAGCGCACAGAAACTTGTTATTACCCTATTATTACACTTAGAAAATTGCGACATAACGTACTAAGTAATAGGTAGTACCTGCACATCGTTACTTTTATTGTGGTATACCGCCTGCATATCTTCCGAGCTTATATCTCTGGAGATATCGGTAGTTTCAGATACCGAATCCTCTGGCGAGTATTCAATACCGCTTTCATTCGCCAGGAAAGCGATGATCACAATTGTGCCCCCATTTAAGATATCTGATGGTGGGTATGACAGGTTCAGTTCATCAATATTTAAATTTGTCAAGTGCTGGGCATAGCCAAGGGATTTGGGCAGCTTCTGCAGCGACTTGTTATGACCAATGTCCAAGGCAGTGAGCTGCTGCAGCTGTCCGATCTCCTCGGGCAGCTGTTTCAGATTGTTCCTCGATACATTAAGGATTGTTAGTTTGCTTAATTGAACTATCTCGTTGGGCAGTTTGCGAATATTGTTATCTTGCAAGTAGAGTTCCTGGAGAATATACAGGAAGAGATGGGATAAAATGGATAATCATTGCTCTCAATCTCTATTAAATAGTGTACCTTGAGAGAAGAGAAATACATTATGTCCGAGGGTAAAGCAGCGAACTCGTTTCCATGAATGTCTAACACAGTCAGCAGCGACAAGTCACTTAAGGCACCTCCGCCTGAGAGCGAGCTCAATTTATTGTTGTACATTACCAGGACCTTCTTCCTGAACACCTTGCAGAGCGAATAGATCCCCGATGGCACATGTTTCAAGGCGCATTCCGAGACGTCGAACACTGGTTCCGGATTTTCCCTGGCCTGTCAAAAGATAGGTTTAATCATTACCGTGTCTGTCAAGTTACCGATGAAGATGCGATTGAAGCACAGGCTGATGTAGCGTAGTTAAACTTCTTCAACTAATTCACGAGTACCAGAATGATTGTAGTTGATAAAGGTACGGTCAATCCCTTAACCTCAATTTACCTAACCTCAATTAGCAGGCACACACATATACGCACCAGGTACAACTTGTACTCGAGCCGCGCCTTGTAGTCGACGTTAGCCTTGTTCCCGTGTTTCTTCGATAGAGACATCCTTGCTCGCATCCGTCATGACAAGGCGAGCAAGGATCTCGTGCGGCGGCTCGCTTCGCGTTTGACACGTGATAATCAGTGATAACCAGTGATAACGTCAAGCCGCAAAAGGGATGAGTCAGCACGTACACTTGCACATCTTGAAATCTCATGATTTATGGCTAAGTGCGCGCGCGCCATCTACCGTGCATTTTTACATTTACAAGCGGATCCCGCGTCTAGTATTTTCTAATGATCCACGGCTGGACGCATGCGATCATGACGATTTCTTTGCGAATTCAAAAAATACCAAGATATATTACATGATGTAAACTTTTGCCGATCGAATTTGAGAAGAAACACTTTGTAGCTGTCCACTTTCATACACTTCTTAATATTTGCTTCTCGTCATAATATCACGAAGATCATTAATTAAATGTTGAGTAATAACTAGTTAATCAGCTGAAAATTAAATTAAACCGTGAGAAAGCCAGTAGCTTTTAACTCAACTCAGTTGATCTTAAAAGAGTAAATTGTTAACTTAAACTGATTGTCTTAAAACGCATTAACGTCGACTTTTTAACATAGTTTTATATAAATTAAAATAATATTAAAATCATCGCAAACGATAAAAAGCTAATTGTATAAAAAACATAACTTTTGTCAATTTGATGATTTCGAAAAGTTAACAAATTAACAAAAGTTAGGGTACTATTGTAACAGTATATTCTTGAGACCAAATAGAGTAAAAATATTTAGTACCACTTTTTCTTCCGACAAATAGTTACCGAGATATCGTAAGTGATATCGTGAATATTGAAAAAGTTAGCAAGTTTTCCTTAAATATCTCAAAAAATATCAGGCAAATAAAAAAATATTTCAGACAAAAGCTGCTCAAATTAATTGGTAGAAAAAGATGGTGTAATAAAAAATGGAAGTTTTCTATTTAAAAAAAGTGATGACCAGTGAATATCTAGAAAGTGGCGTCATCTGTAAACAAAATGATGTCACTATCTTATACTTCCTTCAAACCAAACAACTTTTGTCTAAAATATTTTTTCATCCAACCACTTTCCGCGATGTTAATCGGGGTACACAATTAAAGTGGAACATCTTGTATATCGGACCAAGGGTGGAGCGGTGATTGAATTTTGGATTATTTGGTAAGAACTCAAGTCATTTTATTGAGCGGTACAATGACGTATAAAGAGAAGAAGTTGGCAAACTCTCTCGGTAGAAAAACAATAAAAAAGAGATACCTCTGGGAATAATTGGAAAACAATTCGAGAATAAGAAGATCGACAAAAAGGGGCAGTAGGTTTCGCCTAAAGCTCAGTAGGAACTATCTAATTCGGTTCGGTTTGTGCCTCTTTTTCCGTGTATGCTCAACTACAACGCTAACAAAATGCCTAACGTCGGCGCCGTTCACTACCCAATTCGCTTCATCTGCATCGGTGGATCTGGTCTTTACGATTCATCCGTTCCCATTACGATCCATTCGCGACTTTTATGATAAATCTTGCGAGAGTTCTTTCTGTCGCAGTCGATATTCCGTCGGTGTCAGCATGCCTCTAAGGGATAATTATATTTGTAATCATTCGTAATAAACAATGTGAATTATAGTAGAGTATCCTAAATTTGGCACTCGCAAAATTACCTTAGAACTGTGTCGAAGGACACGCACACACCCTTATCGCACATTCGTCTGTAAAGGTGCCAGCATTCTTTTTCCTTGGTGGTTTGGAAGCGCGGCTCCGTCGACAGCGTCATCTCCCTCGGTGGCATTTCCTTCGCAGGCAGCATTTCTTTGACATATTGTTCGACCTGTATTTGCGATAAAGACAGATTAAAGAACATGAGAAGATAGAAAAAGGATCGGGAGGGGATGGAGAGGAGGGAAAGAGAGAGTAATCGAGTAATAAACCTTTTATCGGAAGATTAACTACGAGAAAATTAATTAAAAGATAAGATGTCATGCTTTCCCTTTCCCTTTCTCTTTCTCTCTATTCTAGGAATATATATATATATATATACAGTGTGTTTTACAAAATGGGTTCAGGACTTTAAGAACAGATCGTACTGACAAAATAGAGGTAAAAAATACTAATAAGCATAGGTCGAAAAATTGATATTGTCGGAGTTATAAAAAGTTATTTATTTTAATTAAAGCAAGTGATTTGCTCGCTTCTGGTGCACGACCATACATGAAATGCATTTTCTAAAGAAATGTTATTTCTTGATTAAAGTAATGCGATGTCATTCTTACCGTATCGTGAAAACTTTGTGATAACTCTCTGCGGCTATTTACTGTTCACGAGAATATGTGACTAACAACTGCTTGGTGAAGTGTGTGCATAAATGGGAAGAAAATGGACGTTTGTCTACATTCATATAGATAAATGACATAGACAAATTACATTAGAAAATACAACAGCAACAGAAGCGAGTAGGACACTTGCTTTAATTAAAATATATAATCGTTTATAACTCCAGCAATATTAACACATTGCTTGCGGGTATATTTCGCCGCGGACTTACGCGTGTAGCGGGCGTTTTTTCGTGAATTTCGCGAGAGTTTGGTCATTCAGTAAAATCGCAATAAATCGATATTTCGTTTTTCTCAACGAAACTTTTTTTATTTTACACTTAAAGAAACAATGGAAATCGTTGCCTAACAATACAAACACCATACACACTTACAATGTCCATCGTATTTATACGATACCCGCTCTCCAGCACAAATCTACTAAATACGTACTAAATACGTACTTTTACGTGACCCGCGCTCTAGTCACAGATTGCAAAAAATGTAAAAGTACGTTCCCCGCAATGTGTTAATTTTTCTTATTAGAACAGTTTCTCCTCCATTTTGTAAGTACCATCTATCTATAATGTCTTGAATCCTTCTTTTTAAATACACATACATATACAGGGTGTTCGGAATATTTTGGAAATGAAAAATTATGAAGGTTAAGCAGATCAAACTGAGAAGAAAAGTCAAGTATCACTTTGCAAAAATGGCAATAGTTATTAACCCTTTAACTGCTACAGTCGAGATAACTCGAGTGTGGAAAAAAATGGCGACCTTGCTACGATTGAGTTTACTCGATTTGGACTTTTAATGTGTGTGGTATTGCGTGTGGTATTTTTAAAATTTAAAAATGTGAATTTGTGAAAATCTGGATCATCAGCAAATTATAAAATATTTTATAATTGTAAAAATAACTTAGCAAAGAAGGTCAAACTGGTCATTTAATATCTCAGCAGTTAAAGAGTTAATGATTGAAAATTATTACATCTAGAGGCTCTTTTTATTAATAACTTTAAAATTTGCGTAGTTATTTGCTAAATGGTAAAAGACTTTTTTGTTTAGAATGGCTTAATTTACAATTATATAACAGCTATTGTGCATAGCGACAGGTGCAAGATTTAGAATTCAAAGTTTAATATATTCATATCTATCACTAGACACAATAGTCGTCGCATAATTGTCAGATTAGGTCATTCTAAACAAAAAAGTCGTTTACTATTTTACGAATAAGTAGGCAAATTTTCAAGTTATTAAAGTTAAATAATTAAAAGTCTCTAGATATGATAATTTTCAATCATTAATAACTATTGTGATTTTTGCAAAACGGTACTTGACTTTTCTTCTCAGTTTCATTTAATTAATCTTCACTTTCATTCAATTTTTATTTACAAAAGAGCCTAAACACCCTATATATATAATCGTATATGTATATATGTAGGATACTTTTGCGGACATATGTTATTAAAACTTTTTATATTTATTTTTCAACATAGGATCTGTCCTGTAAATTTGTCGATAAAATTCAGATATACCCTGTACATTATATAGTATATACAGGATGTCCGGGATCTTTTGGAAACGAAAAATTGTGAAGATTAATCAGATCAAACTGAAGAGAAAAGTCATGTACCATTTTGCAAAAATCACAATAGTTATTAAGTTATTAATGATTGAAAATGACCACATTGATCGAAAATTTGTGCACTTATTTGAAAAATGGTAAAGGACTTTTTTGTTCAAAATGATTTAATTTACAATCATGTGACGGCTATTGTGCTTAGCGACAGGTTCAAGATTCAGGGTTCAAAGTTTAATATACTCATATCTATCGCTAGACACAATAACCGTCATATAATCATAGATTAGGTCATTCTGAATAAAAAAGTCCTTTACTATTTTGCAAATAAGTACGCAAATTTTCAAGTTATCAATTAAAAGAACTAGGTGTAGTCATTTTCAATCATTAATAACTTAATAACTGTTGCGATTGTTGCAAAATGATCCCACACAGCATAGAAGTTGCAGCAATATTGCCGCAACATTGTTGCAACGTTGCAGCAACTTTTTTTCAGCTTTGTGTGCTGTATAGGGTACTTGACTTTTTTCCTCAGTTTGATCTGATTAATCTTCATAATTTTTCATTTCCAAAAGATTCCAAACACCCTGTATATGTGTGTTTCTCTTCTTAACTTAGAGTATTATAACTTGTTTACTTTCGGAAGCTGACCGTCGATCGGCGAAACCAAACCCGCGACAAGATGCGTCGGCCTCTGTTCCTTTGGCTCCATCGGCACATTGATATTCGTCTGCTCCGCAACGCTGCAGAAACATTATTGAGACATATTGGGACATATTATTGAGACATATTATTGAGACGTACAATTCTTTTTCATCGTTCGCATAATCGTACGGCAGGCAAAATCTCAGCTCGTGAAACTGAATAACGATCGGATGGAAATTCCACGACGAAAGATAACATTTCTGTTCTGTCACAATCGAAAAAAAGATTGTAGTAATCGAAAGCAATAGCCCTGATTAGAAACCTCCTGCGGGAATCCTTTTGTCTCTACAACCGACCTTTTCTACTTATCCCTTCTCCGTTCTTTCTGGCAGCGGGAAATTCAGTCACTGACAGGTTTCCGGAAAACCGATCGTTTTCTCGTGCATGTGAGGAGGTCCTTGCGGTGCACGGTATAGCTGCAGCCTCGCGAATACATTAACCAATCGAACGCGAGTAAGTATATAAAATTGGCTTTAATCGTATCGCCGAATAATAGACAAACGACTCCGACTCGAGCGCGGAGAGCCTTAAATAAATTCAGTTAAAATTCGGCGGAGCGAGACCGACCAATCGAAGGACGTACCAGTTCGGCGGGATGCGGAATTACACGCGGCGTTCACGGCCGTACCAGTCCGTTACCACCCCTCCCTCCCCTCGCAAATCGCAGTTTACCTATTCCGTTACATCGTCCCACTTAATTTTTTCCACATCGATATCATAAATCGTCGGGCAATCGAACTTCCCCTTCGCCATACACCGCGCCTCCCCCGCCCTTCCCCTCCCCTTCACCCATCCCCTCGCGCATGCACTTTGTTAGATTAAAAATACGATACAGGGCTCGTATGCGGCCTCGAGCTCGACGAATCGACGCGCTCGTACAGATTGGCGATTCATTTGCTCCTTATCAACTGCTCTTCTTTATTATTGCGTATCGCTCGTCGTCGTCATCGTCGTTATCATTATTATTTATCCACTTTTGCAGAGCAGGTATGTGCTCGCTGCTCCCTGTATTTCTCAAAGTGGAAGCTCGCTCAGAACGAGCGGAAAGTGGCGATATTTTTGCCCGAGACGATAGAGAGAATATGCCTGTCGAAATCGTAATTGAGCGGATGTTTCACTCAACTTTAGGTTCTAACTTCACACGAGCGAATGTTTCAATCGATCAGAGCGAGTCCCTGCAACCCCTGTGGAATGCGCGCTGAGTTCCAAAATAATTCCAACGTCTTTTCTGGAATTGATCGATCTAGAGCGCAGCAGATGTTCCACGAAGGAAATTGATTTCAGAGAATTTGTCATCGGCTGCGCCCGAAAAAACGTACTCAAACCGTTTTGAAATCCACAGTCACCAGATTCAATCTTTAGGATGAAGGTGTTCACTCGGCGATCCAAAGCGGAGATTTCACTCTGTATGAGTATGAGTATATATCATCATTCTAATTCACCATAATGAAGAAAGGGATCAGTAAAAACATTTTTCCGCTCTCACAGGATTTTCAGAAAAAGATTTCTTTATGATTTTTTTGTGGATGATTATTATGAATGTCCAAAAAATAACCACTGAGATGAGGAAAAGCTTGATAAAACCAAAATTAATTATTAATCTAGGTGTATCATCATGGTGGTATTTAAGCACTTTTCATGACTAATAAAATATTTTCGCTCATTGTATTTTAGGAGTGTGATTTAGTTTTGAAGGTCTTTTTTTCTCAAAAACTGATTTCGGATGATCTGAACGGATACCTTAATCAAAATATTTTCCTTCGTTTTCTACAACTTTTTCCCATCTTTCTGGCAAGAGATGAATTTTGCAACGATAAAAAGATTCTTCTTTGGAGTTGATCCAATTTTCAATAAATTTTCGCCTTTTGTACGAAGTTATGAAAGTATGTATCTTCTAAAGCAGGAGTTCCCAACCGGGGGGCTAAAAGACATTCTTGGGGGTGCGGAAAAAAGTGATTGTAATTAATAATTAATAATAATTAAGATGAATCAGAATTCATTCTAGAGAATAATCCGACATTTTTACCATCAAATTAAAAAAAATGTTATTAAAATTATATCTTTTTTACGTATCACTATGTGAAGCTTGATACCGTGAATAACAATTTTATAATATTAAAATGATACTTAATTTCTATAAAACAATACTATGTAACAATAAATTATTATAAATTAACTTCTTACCTTAAAATCCTAACAACTAATTTTTACCATAAAACATACGAATAATTTTTTTTATAAGCGGTGTGAAGGTTCATTAATAAATTTTTAAGGGTGCGAAAAAAGGTTGGGAAACCCTGCTCTAGAGCATGTTGCATCGACCGGAACAAGTGATAATCGGATGGAACAATGTCTGGAGAATATGCAAGATGCGGTAAGACTTCCCATTCCAGCTCTAATAGCGTTTGCTTCATTGATAATGCAACATGAAGTCGAGCATTGTCCTGAAGAAAGATTACTTTGCGTCGTTTACTCGCAATTGGTGACTGTTTTTGGTCCAATGCTCGCTTCAATTTGTATAATTGTTGTCGATAACGATCAGTGGTGACAGTTTCATCCGGATTTAACAGTTCGTAGTACGCAACACCTTTTTGATCCCACCAAATACATAGCTATATCTTTGAACCGTGAATATCACCCCTCGAGGTGGATGTTGCTGGTTGGGTTGGATCAACCCATGATTTTATTCATTTGAGATTATCGAGATAGATCCATTTTTCATTCCCAGTAACAATTCGATAGAAAAAACTCTTCATTTCTTGTCTTGCGATCAACGAAATGCAAATGTTCAACCGATTCGCAATGGCATTTTCCGATAATTGATGTGGAACCTATTTTCCTTCTTTATGAATCTTTTCCATATTATGGAAACGTTTAGTAACTGTTGTACGATCAATATTTAATGCCCTGGCAAGTGGACTCTGAAGTGGATGGAACAAAGTTGTGATCATTGTAAAGGTTTTAATTTCTTCCTACTTCTAAATTTTTTTTATTCCATTTTTAATTTTTTATTTCAGTTTTTTGTCTTTTGTTTTTTGTTTTTTTTTAGTCATATTAAGCACTACGACCATGATTTTTAAACATTCTCTGACGATGATTGTTCAGAATTCGATTATTTTTCTTCATCTCCATCTGTCCAGTAGGACAAACAATTGGTAGCATCACCTATACTATTTACAAAATCCTTTGATAGCCCAAGATGACATTAATATGACGGCAGAACGAAGTATAATGAGCGAAAATATTTTATTAGTCCACTTATTAGTCATAAAAAAGGCTCAGGTACCATAATGATATAGACTAATAATTATTTTGCTTTTATGTGTCTAGTTTTTTCTTACCTAGTTATTTTTGGCATTCTTAATGATCACACAATACAAAAAAAATTGGATTTTTTAAAAATCCTGTGAAATCAGAAAAAGGCCTTATTGACTTTCCTCTCTTTTAGAGGGATGGGGGGAGTGCCACTTATCGCATGTATCAAAAGTCACTCACATCGGGCGGCTGGAGATGCTGCGCGTTCGCAAGAGCTTCCGCTTCTTGTCGTCGTGCAAGTCGCCGATCGGCACCGCCAAGCATCGCTTCTCGCGATCGGTCAACGGCGCCGGCTCCGGCACCGTCTCCTCGTCGTCCTGAGTCAAGAGAACAGGGACGGCCAACGATGGTATCACAGCCTCGGCAACGTTTTGCCGCCAGAGCGGCGCGTCATCGCCGGAACCGTTGACGACGAAGTTCAGGCGAGCTGGTTGAATCCCGACGATTGACTTCTCGTCTCCCAGCCTCGTCGACGCCTGCGGCGCCTGCAACAACTCCTTCGCCGGGTCCTCGTCGAACGAGTACCTCTGGAAGGAGACTGTCTGACGATTCAGTCGCGTTGCAAATCCTCTTCGTCTTGTTCTCACCCTTCAAATGTCCTCAAATGAAAGTTCACTCGAAGCGAAGGGACATTCACTGTTTCGATCGATGATGAAATTACATTAAATTCATTCTTTAATTTCGAGCGAAAGGATTCACCCAACGATCCAGAGTAAGGAACTCGGCATGAGCAAAGAGTCACTCGAATTTCTCATGATTTCACTCCGCTTCTCTAGCGAAATTCCACTCCAAGAAATTTAAAGAGTAATTCACACTTCTTTTTACTTTTTATATTTCTCTGTACAGTTGGATAATTAAAAGTTGCAACGCTTTTTCTCAATGAATCCTGATACGCATCCTGCAACCAATAGGAAAATATATCTCACGAAAATTACTAGAAAACAAATTCTTCTATTGAATATGAAGTGCATTGTAGTTATTTAACATATAGGATGTGTCAAAAGGTAAGGATAACGGTAACGACAATACGGAGATGAAAGAGAAACTCAAGTAGGATACATAAAATATAAAAATTTCTTTTGCATTCGTTCTGGTTTAGTAAAAACAGCGCTCACACGAGTATACATAGTAAGGATCGAAACTTTTAAATTTTAATCCTTATGTGAGATCTTGACAACGCTATTCAAGGTCATACTAATTTTACTAACGTGTCGCTTAAAACCCTACAACTTTTGTATGGAATGTCTTTCTCGAAAATGCATATTTTTCGAAGTAACAAGAGTTTCGAAATATCAAGTACGTATTTCAACACTTTGTACATTCATATAAAGCGCTGTATTTCCTAAATCATAGCGAAAATAGAAAAACGTATACAGGTTGTCCGGGATCTTTGGGAAACGAAAAATTGTGAAGATTAATCAGATCAATCTGAGAAGAAAAGTCAAGTATATATACAGCACACAAAGTTGAAGAAACGTTGCTGTAATGTTGCAACAATATTGCTGCAACTTTTTGTACTAGATGGGATTTTGCAAAAATCGCTATATTTGTTAAGTTGTTAACGATTAAAAATTGCCACATTTAGAGGCTCTTAATGACTTGAAAATTTGCGTATATATTTGCAAAATGGTACAGGACTTTTTTGTTCAGAAAGATCTAATCTACAATTATATAATGGCTATTGCGTCTAGTAATAAATATATATTGAACTTTAAACCTTGAATCTTGAGCCTGTCGCTAGACACAATGCGCTAGCCGTCATATAATTGTAGATTAGGTCATTCTGAACAAGGAAGTCCTTTACCACTTTGCAAATAAGTACGCAAATTTTCAAGTTATTAAAAGATTAATTAAAAGAGCCTCTAAATGTGGTCATTTTTATCATTAACAACTTAATAACTTTTTTTGCAAAGTGGTACATGACTTTTTTTCTCAGTTTGATCTGATTAATCTTTATTCTCGTTTCCAAAAGATCCCGAACATCTTGTATATACATTGTTTATTCTACTCAAGCTTCTTTTTCATTTTCTTGGTTGTCCATAGATTTTGACACACCCTGTACAAGGAGAAACCAAGCGATTCATTTCCGGCTTAGTTCCCCTCGCCTCATTTGATTCCTCGCTTAACGAAGAATTTTATTTCTTCGCTACTGCAGGATTAAATAGATCTGCCTATAATCTTGCTAGAAAACGCGATGCAGAATCAATGAAGAAGGAGGAGGGCCGAGAGATGACGAGTAATATTTAATCGGGGTAATTCAGTCCGCGTTGCGAAAGTAAATCGATGGTATCGTTTGGCCCAGTTGCCAAATAGCCCGATAGAACCGGGTTACCCGGTAAATAGAGCCAGGTCGGCGCGGTGCGATTGCAAAAAACTCGAGCCCGATCATATACACAACCGCGATAAAGCCTATTAACCCGCCGCGATCAATCCCGCGGTGTCTCCGCGAGATGCGCCTTATCGAGTCGCACGAGTCGCGAGCCGCGAGCCGCAGTTAGCCGAAAGGACGAGCCTCAAAGGGGTGGTCGCGCTGGTCGCGCGCAGGAGGAACTCGAAAACGATGTAATTAAATTGGCGACACTCGAGTTGTAATCCTGTGGAGTTCGTTTGTGTCCGATCTGCGAGAAACGAACGCGGCTCGTGATACGAACAGCGTGATACCTGTATTGAAATTATTCCGGGTATGCGCGGCTGGCGTGTCTCGTGTCTCTTCTAATTAGTCGGCTCAATTATGGCCCTACGCTTTCTCACCTCCGGCCTGCCGCGTGCGGCACGTTAACAAATTCGGCACGTGGACCGAGAGATATCGTGGGCAGCATGATGTTCACGAGCGGTTTGAAGATTTATCGAGAATCGCTCTCTGCGAATTTGTGAGGATAAAAAGGACTCAGATCGAATCAGCGGGATAACGAACGGACAAATTCGATTCTGAGAACCGAAAATTCTGTTTCCTTCCTCGTGTAGGAGAACCAACGAAAAATCATTTTACGACAGATTGCAAATTTTCACGGCGGAGTTGCGGAGGAAATTAAAGAAGAAAATTAAATTTAAAAGTTAAAAAGGAAAAGAAGAAGAATTAAAGAAAAAAAAGTCAAGGAGAAAAATTACGAAAAAAAGAAGATTATAAAAAAAAAATTCGTCTCAAAAATTCAGATTCGTTACTAATTTATTATTAAAATTTATTAGGGCTTCTTTATTCTATTTTCATATATATATAAATAATTTGTAGATAAGTAATTTGTAGCTACAAAGAAAAAGAAGAATTAAAGAAAAAAAAATTAAAGAGAAAAATGACAAAGAAGATTATGAGATTATAAGTTCAAAGATTATAAAGTTCGTTTCAAAGATTCAGATTCATTACTGATTTATTACTAAAATTTATTAGAGCTTTCTTTTCAAATTTATAAATAATTTATAGGTAATTTTATTTTCAAATTTATCAAATTTACTTCAATTTTCTATTGCTACAATTTAATATTGCTAAAATTTAGAGGTTTATCTGAAATTCGAATTTATTTCCGGGACACAAAAGAACACCCTGAGTATCGTTCCTTTTCAGGCTTTATCATAAGAATGGAATGCCGCACCTGACTTGATCGGCTTCCTCGTTACACCGGGATTAGGATTGATGGATGTCTTAATGATCGGTGTAGTGGGTAGTTTGCTGCGCAGCTCGCTGATGAGCTTATCGTCGCCCGGCGAATTCTCCGCGTCGCTGTCGCTGTCGGCCGAACTGACCAGCGATACCATCGTCACCACATCGCTGGTTCTCGAGTCTACGTAGGCCCTTGCGCGTCCTCCACATCGATCCTGCGCCCTCGCGTCCTCCTCATCCTTGCCGCCCGCTCCTGAAGACGCTAGGAAGCGTTTCTTCGCGCTTCTCGATCTCCTCTTCAGAGGCGCTGACCGCACCGATCGTTCGCGCGATATCTGAAGGACAGATATTGTTCTGCTCTCTAAAGTACAGTCGCTGTGTTCTTCGCTGAATGTTATACTTTTAACTGGGGTTTCAGTTACAGGTATAGCACTGCGATCGGAAAAATCTCGGAACGGTTTGAAATAATCGGTTAATTGTGGGGGCCGTTTCCGTAATTATGAAATGTAACGTACTCCCCAGAGAAGTTTTATTGCAATCAATATCAAGTTCAATATTATCAGAATTTTCAGCTCTTGAAAAGAATTTTAGCATTTAACGGATTCGTATTTAGCGTAAAAAAGAAACAGGAAATGACTGGTCTCATTCTGTTACTTTTTTTGCCGAACAATGTTATTAGTAAAATATTTATTGACTCAGAATCAGAAATGTTTTACTTGAAAAGAGTATCAACGAGTTATGATGAAGTCCAATGTTTTCATCCTCTTCAGAATTATCAAATTTCTCTGTTTTACTATCGAGTTGACGGAACACAATGTCGAATTTATCACAAAATGCAAAGAACTAAAATAATTTGGATTCAAAAAATCGGAAAATGAAGAAACATTTTTACTGATTTACTTCAAGAGAAAATATTAACACGTTACGCTGAATTTTAACATTTTTCTTTGCTTTTCGGAATCTAAATTTTTTTTTTTATTATCATCCATTTCCGGAAAAAAATGTTAAATTTATTACAGAATGCATAAGAACAAAATATACAAATTAAAAAAATTTTAATCCTGAAAAGCAAGAAAACATTTCTACTGATTCATTTGAAGAGAGAATATTGATACGTTACACTCAATTTCAACGCAATTTTTGCTTGCTTTCCAAAACCTATTTTTTATCATTTTTTTTATCATCCAATCGGCGAATAAAAAATGCTGAATTTATTACAGAATTTACAGGATCAAAATAATTCGAATTAAAAAATTTGAATTCTAAAAAGTAAGCAAATATTTTTGCTGATTCACTTCAAGAGAAAATATTGATGCGTTACATTAAATTTCAATGTTTTTCCTTGCTTTCCAAAACCTAAGTTCTTTTATCATCCAATCGGCGAATCAAAAATGCTGAATTTATTACAGAATATACAGGATCAAAATAATTCGAATTAAAAAATTTGAATTCTGAAAAGTAAGCAAACATTTTTGCTGATTCACTTCAAGAGATAATATCAACGCGTTACTAAATCCAATGTAAAATTGGTCATTAAAATTATTAATAATAACTTGCAAAACCCAATGTATCCTTACTTATCAGAATTCGTCGTCCCATCATCGAAATAAAAATAGCACATCAAATATATATATGACGAAATCTAACGTTTCCCTGCTTTCCAGAACCCAAACTCCTTTCTTTACCGCCGGCTTGTCGGAGCAAAGCGTTGTATTTATTACAGAATGCAATCAAGATAATTTGGATCGAAACATTCGTATACATCACATACATATCATACATAAACAAAGACAGAGGTCTAAGAGGTGTGTTCGAGTAGCGCTACTTGCAGATCCCTTTACTCTCATCACACGATGACCCGGTCGTCGTCTGTGCGACCCAAGGTCCGTAAATAGAGGAACGAAACAAAGTTAGGTTCTCTCATGGCCGCCATTTTGGAACCAGAAAATCTGTGTTGGTGTACGTGATACTATGTACGTGTAGTATTTTGGTTTAGTTGTGTGAGTGAACACAGTAATCAAAACATAGTTTAAACACATTCCAAAATACCAGTGAGAATTTTCGGAAGAAAAACAATTACAATGCCGACTGTAATATAAAAAATTGCAAAAAACCAAAATAATTTTTGACCTGATGATATGTGGTTAATCAGCTGAGCCACTGTCGCCGCCATTTTCGAGCCAAACCGCGTGAAGTGGATGAGAGGACCTAACTTTGTTCCGTTCCTCTATTTACGGACCTTGATGCGACCTTCCCTACCTTTACGGAGCTCTCCTCGCTCTTCTCCACGGTATTCTTGCCGGGCTGCAGCCCGCAAACAATCGGCTTGTCGCTCGACGCATCGGCGAGACTAGGCGCGTCGATTACGATGTTCACCTGCACGCGTGCTCCGGATGTGACATTCCCTGCCACTGCTCCTCGCCTCTGTGGCGGCGCGGAGTTCGTCCTCCTCGCCTTCTCCAGCGCGATCATAGCCGAGTTCTTCGCTAAGACGGCGCTCTTGTCGGGGGCGACCGGCGACCTCGCATCCGTCGTCATCATCGTCTGCTTCGGCGTCGCGGTCTTATCGGCCGTTGCGGACGCGCATTTTGCCTCGGGTGACCTCACCGGAACGATCTTATCCGTCGCAAGACATTTATTCGCTTCCGTGGCTGCCCTCGCGGGCTTCTCGATCATGGGAACGAGGAAGGCACGGTTGGTACCGCTGTGGAAGCTCGCGCGCTTCTGCTTCGCCGAGGAGAAGTCGTCGCTTGCGACCTTCGCCGGGGATGCGACCGCGCTGTCCGCCTTCAAGGATGAAGAGGACGTGGCCGAAGGGTTTGGAGGATGCAGACTCGTGCAGTCGATGCTTATGAGCGTTTTCCTCTTCTCCTCGACGCTTGCGTCAGCGACGTGCTCTTCTACCTCTTCTTCTTTCTTGGCCTCTTTCGCCGCATTCTCCTCGCTCTTCTTCATCGTTCCAGACACGACACCTGGTGAAGACTCGTCTTCATGCTCGATTCCCCGTGCTCGATCTTCCCCGGAAGGATCCCTCGGCTTCTCTCGCGCAGTAGTACCCCAATCGAGAATCTTCTTCGGACCAGGCTCCTTCCTCGGCAGAGGAGTCGCCGGGACGGACATCGACAGCTCGGAGTCGCAGCGCTCTTCCACGGCGAAGCCGTGCGCCAAGAAGATGTCGATGTTCGCCCGGTTCTCCTCGCGGTGCTTCCAGGCGAGCCTCAGCCGCTCGGCGAGTTCTTGCCGCGAGTATAGGATCGACGCCTTCTCGACGCCGCCGACGTAACCCCTGCCGGCGGATCGGCCGCTTGTGCTCTGCCTGGACCGACCTGGGATCTGCCGAGCGACCACCTCCACTTGCTCGAGCTCGCCGTCGCAGCCGCGCCGATCGTCGCTCCACGCGACTCGCACCTGCCAATTTGCGCTAATTAGACGAATATACACAGAATGAGAGTTTGACGCAAGACGCGACGACATCACAGTCGACCGACTAAAAGCCGCTTCTCTACGAATTCTATAACATATCGCATGCACTCAACAGGAAAACGGATCTTTTGAGAATCGCTGAGGAAGAAATTGTCCTGTTTAGACTGAAACCTCTGTGATGTCGGAATAATCCTTAATTGATTAAGGATTAATTGATTTAAATCCGAAATTTAAATTGAATCGAACGATTTTTTATTTTCGGCCCTCTATGTTAAATCCGCCATTTTGAATTTCGCATTTTTTATTAGGGTTAATTAATTACCCTGTTAATTGATCCTGTTAATGACCTTATTAACGACAGAAAGGAAATATTTATAACGGAGTAATTGGAATAAGACGCTATATTTTTGTTTTCAAAGTTTCTGAATTCAAACTCGAGGTCAAAATTGCGAAATTCAAAATCGGATATTAGATCGGCGGATCTAACATGGCAGACCGGAAATTTAAAAAATCGTTTGATTCAATTTTGACAGAAAGATATAATGTCCTGATCCAATTGCTCCGTTATAAATATTTTTTTTTTTTAATGCGCGGATATTTCCATCTTCAGCAGTTTGGACTATTGATCTTTGAACCTTGAAAGTCAATCAACAGCAATAAAATGATTAATTTGAGGTTAGTCAGAATGTTTGCGCATGCGCATGACTAAACCTCATATTAGTCACTTTATGTTGATTGAGGGAGAATCACAGTGTTCGGAGTCTTTTATGAGTATGCTCTAACAGTTTGTGAAGTATCCTTTCGTACAAATATCTTTTTATTTGAAAACGACACGCAAGAATTTACAACGTGTCATTTCTCGTCTCTGACATCACTATCCAATATGGCGGGCAACTGGAGCCTGAACGAATTGTTACCCCAAAAATATGTCGTGTGCATTTTTCGTGTATTTTTGATCAACGTGCATCAATTTCTTTAAATTTCAGTTCACGAGTGGCTTGTTAAAAATACTCGAATTTTTCTCACTATAAATTAATGAGCCTACTAAAATATAATAGATCGTAAGATTAATAAAGATTCTTAAGCTTGCAAGCCTAGAGGCTTAAGTAAGAGTTTAAGCTACTTATCATTAAAAAAAATTTTTTTCTAAATCTTGCTACGCACATCTAAATTCAGACCTCTCGTAGGGGTCTCTACCAATCTTTTTAGAAATTTATTTTAGTAAACGATAATAGATAAAGATCCATAATTATTTGTAATTTGTAATTATTTCTAGCAAAGCAAAAGACGTGAAGAACATTTTCACAAGAACTATCCCCAGCAAATATAAAATATGTAAACAAAGAACACGAATGATATGAATTGGAACTAATGACAACTCTCTCAACAAACTAAAGGATAAAACATTGCAATCCTTTAAAGCAACCAACTACATGCGATTCCCACGTAGTTTAAAGTACAACTGACTCAGAAAATGTCATCTTTTGTAACGTATTTTGAAACAAAAAAAAGTCCAAGATACATAACCTTTCTGCATAAAGTCCATTCTTTGTCGAAGAACTTTTGAACTAAAGTGCACACTACCTGCAGTAAGTTAGACTGAAGGAAAGTACACTTCGAGTTCCATTCAAACTTTTAGTTCAGAGGTTCTTCGAGAACGAGCAGACTTACGATTACCTACAGAGTTCTCGCTCCGTTCAATCGACACGAGTGAACAATCAACGGATGTCTCGGATTCATATCAGCTGACAAACCTTGGGTTTCTCAGCTCCATTGCCGGCGAGTCTGCCGCGCGCGATCGGATTCGCATAGATCTGCAGGGACTTGTCGTCCTCCGCCGATCGCTGCCGCCTGATGTGCTGCCGGCGCGGTGTCGGTTGTTGCAGGGACAACTGTCTGACGGGTCGCACCGCTCTTCTACCGCTGGACATCCTCGTGCATCGGTCGTATCAGCGCATGTCGTCGACGATCGCGGAGGCGGAGGACTCGGCCGAAGGACAACACGTCGACGTTCGTGTCGACGGCGCGCGCGGCCGAGCGCCGACTGACTGACTGACTGACTGCTTCATCCCTTACCTTCTTACCACCCTCCGATGTACCAAGACCAAGCCTGGTTCACCAACACCCCCGGCCAACAGGCATGTGTCTCGCTCTCTCGCTCTCTCTCTCTCTCTCTCTCTCTCTCTCTCTCTCTCTCTCTCTCTCTCTCTCTCTCTCTCTCTCTCTCTCTCTCTTCTCTCTCCTCTCTCTCTCTCTTCTCTCTCTCTCTCTCTCTCTCTCTCTCTTCTCTCTCTCCTCTCTCTCTCTCTCTCTCTCCTCTCTCTCCTCTCTTCTCTCTCTCTCTCTCTCTCTCTCTCTCTCCATTCCTCTCCCTCTCTTTCTCTCTATCTCTGTCTCTCTTTTCTCCGCTTTGAACGGCAGGTCAACACCAACACTACCGCTCTGCTAGACTGCCATTATACAGGGTGTTTAAAAAAAGAGGTGCAAGACTTTAAGGGCAAATAATATTCACAAGGGAGGAAAAATGTTCTGATGAACATGGGTCGAAAAATTAATATTGTCGAAGTTATGGACAATGATTTATTTTAACTAAAGTGACTCACTCATTGATGCTTTTATATTCTTGTATTTTATATCTTGGACGAGGTAGACCAGTCTCATGGTCCCCTCGCTCTTCTGATTTAAATCCCCTGGATTTTTTCTTATGGAAATTTCTTAAGAGCATGGTGTACTCTTCGTCGATGAACGACATAGACGAATTACATCGGAGAATACAAAATGCCTGTCAAATAGTTAGAACAAAGCCAGGAATTTTTGAAAGAGTTCGCAATCCTACGAAGATGTGTATAGAAATAGGAGAAGAAAATATGAAGCTCTTCTATAAACTTTGCAAACACCAGAAACGAGTAGGTCATATGCTTTAATTCAAATAAATAATTATTCATAACTCCGGCAATATTAATTTTTCAACCCAATTTATCCTTTTTCCTCCATTTTGTCAGTACTATCCGTTCTTAAAGCCTTGAACGGGTGGGACCCGATTGACCACCTTGCGATTGAACCAATAATATTACTCAAATCTAACCTAACCCTAACCTAACCTAACTAACTACTTTGATTGGCTGTGTCGAATTGGGATGCCCCCGTCCTGAACCTTTTTTTCTAACACCCTATATACAACCACATGTTCTCCCCATTATTACCTTCGATCACAGGTACTGTCAGTCCTGCCAGTCAGGGTGGTCGAACTCGCAGTGATGTAATATCGCGATATCTGTGCAGGCGTTATGTATCACGCGGTATCGGGCCCGAATCGAATCGCAGCGCGAGTTTAATCCGCCTGACAAGATCGATAGGAAATATAACAAGCTGGAGAAGAGCGCGAGGCTTTTCGAGAGACAGCTCGATGAATCTCTCGTCAACGTTTTATTATTCTACATATCTTTCTCCCCAAGGTACGCGCTCTCGTGTGCGACGGGAACGGATGGCCCGAATTCGTAAGTCTCAGGGACGAGGAATTAGCATCTCGATGGAAAATCGCATCGCTCATCCGTCCTCCGTGACTCAGACTGGTACACGTCGCTCGCCCTACCGCTTCGTCATGTGTCGGAACCACCCCCGCCACCCCCTCTCTCTTTCCCTCTCTCGCTGTCGCTCTCGCTCCCGCCTGGTCCCACCGCCCATCACCACCGCCACCTTTTACACCCGGCAGCCACGTGCTATTGTTTGGAGTCGTCGAAATCACCGCGAGACTCCGTACCGAACTCGAACTCTGCCGGCAGGCAGCCAGTCACCCGGTATTATTGATCAAAACTTTGCCCATCATCTGACAGCTTGTTGTCCGCAGTTGCCATGGCGTCGAGCGATCATTCGAATTCGCCGACGGATCGACTTCTTTTCTCGACTTCGTTCGCCCCCTTAACCACCCCGATACTTCGGTTACAACGGCTTGTCGACGATGACGCAGAAATTGAAACGGGAAACTTTCGGCAAATCACGGCGAAACTGCCATCGATTAGAACGGGGCGCTGCCGAGAGTTTAATTAGGCCCCTTCTTATCAGGAAACTTCGAGCATTGCCAAGAAATTTTCGAGGCCCCGTTTCCTCTTCCGCCCATTACAAGCGGTTAATAGAGGCAGATTGGATCCGATTACGCTGTCCGTGGTCTACAGGCGTTCTCCCTTCTCCTCGCGATATAATTTGTGTTATTTATATGTTCTTACAGAATATGTCGGACGGCGATATATCGCCCAAGCTTTCCGGACGCTTCTTGGAGCCGGGCAATCTCAAGAGCCGAGTGTCGAGACTACAAATATCCTTTGATGCATATCGGTGATGTGCGCTCACCTCACGTCCTTCAGTGTGATTAATCCTTAACGCTTTTGTTATTTTATTTATCACGTGATGCTGGAAACCGACAACTTTACGCTTGACACCGAGTGTCTATTGCAAACGCTGGAACAGTGTTTCCTTACTTGCGCGGCCGAATTGCTCGACGAGCAAATTTTTCGAAAAATATTACCGAAAGCTCATCGTTCGCTATCGCAGGTAACTGTATACATCTTTGTGCAACAATAATTTTGCATTTTACAGTTTTCTATTTATCTAATATCTATATAGATATATATAATGTTTTATTTTAATCGCCCCAAGCAAATATCTCGAAAAATGTGAAAAATACAAAAAACAGATGACAAAAGATTTCAAAAAAGTTATTTAGTTTGAAGGGAGACGTAAGAGACAGCAATAATATTTTGTTTACAGATGGTACCACTTTCGAAATATTCACTCATAATCACTTTTCTTAAATGGAAACCCCTATTTTACCAATTTTACCAATACTACCAATTAATTTAAATAATTTTTGTCTGAAGCATTTTTTGTTTGTCTATTATTTTTTTTGTAGATAGATATTTAAGGTCTAATATTTCCTTTTTTTTAGATAGATAAATATTTAAGAAAAACTTGGTAACTTTTTCAATATTTAATTTACGATATCTCGACAACTATTTGTCGAGAGATCAAGTGGACTCTTATTCTATTTGGTTTCAAGAATATATTGGTATAATAATATTCTAACTTTTGTTAACTTATCGGTCTTTGGAAATTTTAAAATTATTAAGTTTTCCTTAAATACCTCAAAAAATATTATCTAAATAAAAAAATTTTTCAGACAAAAGTTGTCTAAATTAATCGGTGGGAAAAGATGATATAATAAAAAATGGAAGGTTATTTAAGAAAAATAATAATGAGTGAATATCTCGAAAGTGGCGTCATCTATAAACAAAATCATATCACTATCTTATGTCTCCCTTCAAATCAAACAAATTTTGTCTGAAATCCTTTTCCATATCTTTCATATTTTTCGAGATATTTGCCTGGGACAATTAAAATGAAATACCCTATATACATATCTTACATTTAATGCGCTGCACTCCTTGATTTTTACAATACCAAAGGTCGTGAAAGCCATCGACGAAAGAATAAGCGATAATGAGAAAATCGGCAATTTGGACGACGTGAAGCGTAAATTGCACTTCTGCGACGGGCTGCTCGTTTTTTGGCGGAAGTGTGTGGAGCACGTTTCCGCGCTCAAAAAAATTCGAGCTCTTCATGTCGCATCATTGTGCAGTATTCTGCCCGAGACGATAAAGATCATCTTCGAACATTGCAAAACCAGGTACTTTTCGTTTTAGGTGAAAAACACGATACGTTCTCTTGAAACTTTTTTTATGAATAAATTAATATGGAATATATGGTTGTCCAGGAAAAAAATTATTATATAGTTATATAAAATCGTATATAAATATATATATATATATGATTATACATAAATTATATACAAGATGTTTAAGAAAAAGATTTCTGACTTTAGATAGAGTAGATAATATTTATTGTACTAAATAAAATGCTTATCGAACATCAGTAAAAAAAATCAATCTTTTCAGAGTATTATAAACGTTTTTCAATTTTTCAATTTTTGTAACGCAAATTATTTATGTGCTTGTGTGCGTAAAACGCTTATTGTAAACAAAGCAGTAATAAAATAATAATGTAAGAAAATACACGTTCGTTTGTCCACTATGCATGATCAATGGAAGCGCACAAATAGCTTACATTACCAAAATCGAAAATCATTTGTAACCCTGAAAAGAGATTGATTTTTCGATCTATATTTACTAAGCACTTTTTATTCATTATAATGAATACTATCTACCCTGTAAGTTTGGAACTTTTCTTTGTTAACACCGTCTATAATTATGAATGAAATTATATTATTGAACTGAAGAAAAAGAAAAAAATATTCAACTAAATATCAACATTACAAGCTGCTACAAACATAAGTATTTACTTCAATTGTACAATTATTGTTTATACAGGATGTCCGGGATCTTTTGGAAACGAAAAATTATGAAGATTAATCAGATCAAACTGAGAACAAAAGTCAAGTACCATTTTGCAAATTTCCAAGTTATTAATTAAGAAAGTCTCTAGATGTGGTTATTTGCAATCATTAATAACTCAATAACTATTGCGATTTTTGCAAAATGGTACTTGACTTTTTTTCTCAGTTTGATGTGATTAATCTTCACAATTTTTGGTTTCCAAAAGATCCCGGACATCCTGTATAAACAATAAAGACATAATACGCATAAGTAATTTATAATTTATATTAAAAAATGTTAAATATAAAACTGATCAATAGCACCGTGAGCAGAAAAGATTTCGATTCAATAGCGGTATCGTTGAAAATAGTACCTAAGTTTTTGAAACAAATGCATGACGTATTAATTTCAATAATGTCGCTGTATGAATATTATTAAGAATATTTACTGCAATTATGACAGTGTTGATCAGTTCTGTTAATTCAATAGCATTTCTTTTCCGTGTATATGGTCGCTTTTTTTCGAGTATCATAAAAGACATACGATTTTTAGTAAATTTTCAATATTATTACGAACATATTATGTGGGAGAGGGAAGAGGGGAACAATTCATACGTCGAGCACAGTATAGAAGATAAAGAGCATTGTTGTAAAACCGCAGCCCCAAGACCTATGGGGCGTTATTGAGCAGCGCCATGCAGGAGCTGAAGAATTTGTTTTCGCGGGCGAGTGCGATCTTCAAGCTATTCTTTGCTACTTTAGACGGCGTAATCGTCTTCGACACGGATGTGGAATCGGAAACGGAGCTGTTGACGAAAGGTGAGCGATCCTATTACGTCCTAACGACTCTTTAACCCGAAGCACTTTCGCCCTTATCGAGCACACACACATACACACACACACACACACACACACACACACACACACACACACACACACACACACACACACACACACACACACACACACACACACACACACCCACATCCACACCCACACCCACACCCATACGTCCTGCCCTTTCTTTCTCCTCGAGACAGAAGAATCCTCAAAGTAATAATCTGGAGACTTCCGCTTGACTTCACATCATTGTTCGCAACAAGTATCCGGTAAAATATGAAAAAGGGAGTCTGAATATCATGCTCTTATTAGGAAGTTGAATTAGTTCTGGTCCCTATCAATAGATGGCTTTAGTAACAAGTTAATGGTTAGTACGAATGTTGAAATCTGACAACACTGAAAGATTTGACATTTCTCTATGACATATGATTGCGTTATGTTTGCGCACTATTGTTACTGATAGTTTTATTGTTTATACGCGTTCAAAATGGATCATATAAAATTGCATTTTCGACATTCATTATTTTTTTTTTTTATTTGAAAAAGTCGGCAACTGAAACTCACGAAATACTTATTACAACTTATGGCGATCAAGCTCCATCATATTCCAACTGTAAATTTTGGTTCCAACGATTCAAAAGTGATGATTTCGACTTGACTAACAAAGAACGTACTGGTCAACCAGAAAAATTCGAAAATTCTGAATAGCAAGCATCATTGAATGAAAACACTGCTCAAACGGAAATCAATTGGTTGAACAACTCAACGTCGATAAATCAACAATTTCTAAATGCTTACACGCCATGGGAAAAATTCAAAAGGAAGGCAAATGAGTTCCACATGAATTGAGTGAAAGCGTCATTGCAAATTGTTTGAATATCGCCATGTCTTTGCTTGCTAGATACAAAAAAGAGATTTTTGTTGCGAATTATAACTGGAGATGAAAAGTAGATTTATTTTGATAATCCAAAGCGAAAAAATCATAAGTTGATCCAGGACAATCATCAACATCAACACCAAAATGAAACATTCACGGTCACAAAGCAATGCTCTGTATTTGGTAGGATATGGAAGGTGTAATGTACTGTGAACTTCTAACACTGAATGAAACAGTTACGGGGGAGCGATACCAGCAACAATTGAACAAATTGAATGATGAATTGATGCAAAAAAAGCCAGCGATAGCCAACAATAGGCGCAAAATGATTCTTTTGCACGATAATGCTCATCCATATATCGCTTCAATCGTTAAACAAATATTATTAGAGCTCGGATGGGAAATCCTTCCGCACTCAGCATACTCTCCAGACCTAGCACCATCTAATTACCATCAATCTTCCGATTGATGCGACACGCTTTGGCAAATACACACTTCAATAATTACGAGGATGTGCAAAAATGGGTGTCTGATTGGATTGCTTCGAAAGACAGATCGTTCTATCGTCGCGGAATTGCTATGTTGCCAGAAAAATGAGAAAAAGTCATAACTAACGACGGAAAATATTTTGATTGATGTAAATTTAACCATTTCTTTAAGATAAGGATAAAAAAAATGACAAAATAAGACCAGAATTAATTCAACTTCCTAATACTTCGATCGCGACCTCCGACTTTCGGGCGTCACTTTGAATTGTCGGTTTCAGTGGTGGATGCGTATGGTAACATCGCTTCGATCGCGTACGGGATGGACACGAAAACGCATATTGAGATATCAGAGGCATTCGCTAAGTTAGCTGTTGACAATCAGAACGATATAAAATGTGCGTCACCGAGCAGCGTGGCGACACACCTTGCTCAAATGGCGAAAGACGCGTCTTGTCTTTTGTCCACGATCAAGGTATGCGAGCGTAGGACTGAAATGGAAGAGAGATACTTGACAATAATACACGTATAAATAAATAATTATTGCGTACAGGACCAGAACGATAAGAACATGGAGCGAACTACAGTGGCTACCATGCGTTTACTGAAAATAGTCGAAAAATTAACGGCGGTTTACGGCACATTTTTCGCATGCGAGACGCTATTATATCTGATCGAACTTTCCACGAGAATGCACGGGTGATGAATCTTTTATTAATCATTCTTCAGTCGTAATAAAAACATACGAGTCAGCCGTTGACGATAAAAGACGAGCCATTTGAAAGTAGAATACGTGAACATATTTAAAAATAAAATGTGTGAAAATTATATGAAGTCAGAATCGCATTATATCGGAAATTTATTTGTGCAATTATTTCTCACGCAGATATTCATACTTGAATCTAACCAAAGGCGGCGGGAGAATAATATCGGTCAATACTGCATCCTTTTTAGATATCATTTTCGATCATGATGATTTTAAACAGGTAAAGTAAAGTTTAAAAAAGTATGTTACTACTCCATCAAAAAAGATTATAGTATAACAATTATAACATATATTTATAAAAAGAAAAAATATATAATACATATAATTATGAAATATATATATCTAATAATAAATATATAATATATACAGGGTATCCCATTTTAATGTCCCACCCCAAATAACTCTTCAGTATTGAAGTTTCAAGGAAAATGATCTGGATAAAAGTTGTAGGGATTTAAGTGAGCTACCTTATGATGACCTTGACTTTGACCTTGACCTCTATTTTCGAGATCATCTGAAGGTCAACTTGCGTTTTTTAAATGGGAACCCTTATTTTTTATTACACTTTTTTTCTACTAGTTAATTTGGACAACTTTTGTCTAAAACATTTTTTTATTTGTCTAATATTTTTTTACATATTTGAGGAAAACTTGATAACTTTTTCAATATTTAATTTACGACATCTCGCTAATTATTTGTCGGAAGAAAAAGTGGTACTAGACTTTCTTGCTTTATTTAGTCTCAAGAATATATTGTTACAATAGCGCCCTGATTTTTGTTAATTTGATGATTTTGAAATTTCTAAAAATCAGTAAGTTAACAAAAGTCAAGGCGCTATTGTAACAATATATTTTTGAGACTAAATAAAGTAAGAAAGTCTAGTACCACTTTTTCTTCCGACAAATAGTTAGCGAGATATCGTAAGTTAAATATTGAAAAACTTATCAAGTTTTCCTCAAATATCTCAAAAAATATTAGACAAATAAAAAAATGTTTTAGACAAAAGTTGTTCAAATTAACTAGTAGAAAAAAACAGTATAATAAAAAATAGAGATTCTCATCTAAGAAACGCAAGTTGATCTTCAAATGACCTTGAAAATAGAGGTCAAGGTCAAAGTCAAGGTCATCATAAGATAGCTCACTAAAATCCCTGTAACTTTTATTCAGATAATTTTTCTTGAAACTTCACCACTGAAGAGTTATTTGAGGTGGGACATTAAAATGGGATACCATGTATAAATTATACAGGGTGTTTGAAAGCTTATCATACAGACGAAAGTTGGAGATAGATTGAGTGTAGCCGAGAAGAAAAATCCATAATGTCAAATTGGCAATAGTTATCGAGTTATTAATTGAAACATGTGAGCCAATGAGCGCGTATGGTAGAGAGCGCTGGGCGGCTGCCTCTTGTCGTTTGCGCTCGTTCGCTCCTTGTCGCGCGCGCTCACCTCTTGTCGTTTATGGTTGCCCATCGCCGCGCGCGCTCGCCTATCGACGCTCGTTGACTTCGCTTATACCAAATGTCTTACCGTGGCCGCCCAGCGCTCTCTAGCGCTCTCAGCATTCATTGGCTCACATGTTTCAATTAATAACTCGATAACTATTGCCAATTTGACATTATGGTACATGACTTTTCTTCTCGGCTACACCCAATTTCCAACTTTCGTCTGTATGATAAGCTTTCAAACACCCTGTATATGTAATATATAATATATATAATTATATATTAATATTATATATATATAATTATTAAATATATACAGGATGTCCAGGATCTTTTGGAAAATTGTGGAAAAACGAAAAATTGTGAAGATTAATCAGATGAAACTGAGAAGAAAAGTCATATACCATTTCGCAAAAATCACAGGGTCATTCTGAACAAAAAAGTTCTTTATCATTTTGCAGATAAGTACACAAATCTTCAAGTTATCAATTAAAAGAGCCTCTAGATGTGATCATTTTCAACCATTAATAACTCAATCATTAATCACTATTGCGATTTTTGCAAAATGATACACGACTTTTCTTCTCAGCTTTATCTGATTAATCTTCACAATTTTTCATTTCCAAGAGATCCTAGACACCCTGTATATATATATAATATTATATAATTCACATAATTATATTATATAATTATTATAATATAATTAATATTATTATATGTATAACATAATATATATATATATATATAATTATGTAAAATCATATATAATCATATAAAATTATACCCACACTGAGAAAAGCAACGCTGTTACACGAAAAAAAAGGAAATTGTTCCGTTCAATTGCACATGTCGGTCACATCACGGGCTGCCATAAGCAATTACTTTGATCATATTTGTAAATAGCATTTTTTTTTTAGTGAGTGCCATGTATACGTATAATAATTATATGTGTTTATATACATTATCATATATAAATAGCAAAATTCATATATAATCTATTTTTTGTCGAGTACACTCTCTATAGTGTCGCAACAAGATCCGTTCGCGTAACACTCATGTTTCAGGCATATTTCGAATACGGGAGAAAGACCGATGTGTGTCGGTTGAATTACCATTTGCTGACGATCACCGTCATGAAGAAACTGAACAGCATACCCTACGAGCGCCACTGTAAATGGTATCTAGGCATGAACTCGATCTTAGACGTCGCGTTCACTCATATAGAACATCGTAAGTAACGATGCTAGAAGCCAAAATTAAGACTCGTGAAGTTGATACTCTCGACCTGAATTATCTGCTTCTGACGATAGTCCAAGGAGAAATCATAGTTGGGGAATTACGACTGCCAGGCAATCACGAAATCGGTGAACGGCCGCGACTGGCCGGCATTTACGAAGCGACTTTGGTGCCCATCTGCGACCTGGTCAGCCAGATCCCCTCGGAAGCCTTCCACGCGCTGGAGCTACTCTTGTTGAAACATTTGTTGTCCGGACGCTTTTGGAGCTCCCTATTGAGTTCGGACGTTTGGTGCTTCATTGGCAGGTACTAATTAACATCGAACATATTGACCAAATGGGCAATGATTATCGTAACAATTGATTGAGGGTTGAGAAAGTTACTTTTGAGAAATAACGCATTATCGTTATGCAAAAAGTAACGAATTGATGCAATTTCCATCAGCGAGTCTTCTCCGAAGATCTTTTTATTAGAATTCGCTTCCGTTCATTTTATATATTAGATGCTTGCAATAATTCGTATGATATTACAATCGTCATTATTTATTAATGACAATGATATGATGTATAATATTTTAATTAAAGTGTTGGCTGTTGCTGTCAATACATTTTGCCATCTTTCGGGCAATTTGGTCTCGCGCTGACAAAATAATTCATCTCTTGAGATAATCCATTTATCGATTAATTCCGCACTTCCTCAGCTTCGGAACCGTGTATCAGACGGACTGTGCTGCATCGGTTAGGATAAATGAGAATCAGATGCGGCGATGTCTGAAGAATATCCTGGACTTCTGCAGGACTTTTCAATAACTCTAACTCGAACGTCTCTTTAGTCGCAATAGCAACACGCCTAGCGTGAAGCATGATTTTGCGTCGATTCGCGGCTATATTTGAAGGAGTTGTTTTCTTCATAGCTTAGATCGACGCCACAATTGTTGACTGTAGCCATCTCTTGTGACTGTCTGCATTGGTGGTAATAGTTTATAGTAAAGTATTCCTTTTTGGTCCCGCCAGATTTACGAGAGAACTTTATGATCCTTATGATTATGGATGTTTTATCGTGGATGGTTGGCCGGAACCATGAATTTTTGCGTTTAGGATTGTCAAATTAGATTCGCCACAAAAATATTTTCTTTTATGCCTGGCAAGCAATGACGGTAAGCCAGTTCGCAATCGCGCTTGTAGAGAGATCATGGGAAAGCCATTTTCCTTCTTTTTGGATCCTTCTCATCGCTCTCAAAGAGCGGAATACTGTTGATTCGCCAACTTCCAGCTGTTCTACAAGCTCTTTTAGTGTTTGGGTCAAATTTTTGTTGTGCAATATTCCCATTGCCATTACTCAAATAACTTAATAGCGTTACTGCTATTAACGAAAAAAAAGTATAACGTCATTACCAAGTCGTCTACTGAAGAAGAGTAACTTGCAACGGTGTTACAAGTAACACGTTATTTCTCAATCCTGCAATTGATTAATAAAATCAAGTCGCATTCAGGGACTGATTAGTGTTGGTGATTTCAGGCTCAGCACTTCGCAGCTATGTGCTGATCATATAAAATATTTGATACGGGTCGCTGCTGCCTTGACGGAAAGGCGCAATACTGTAGAAGTGGTCATGCTGGACATCATGATCGGCAGACTCTACGAACTGCTAAGCGAAGATGCGAAATCCGCTTTGCTAGACGATCTCGCCGATTTAGATGCATCTACTTTCGATACTCCTACCTTGCACTGGCTTGCGGCGAAAGTGAAGGGTTCCCATCCGAAACATTTAATATATAAAATAGACGACCTGTCAAAAGCCTTCTCGGACTTGCGGGAACATCCTACTACGCGCAATTGGAAACATCTTGTGAGCGAGCAAGAGAGAGAGAAACGATGTCTTATATAAAAATCTCAAAAATTACCGTATTATATAAACTTAAAAGAAAAATGTTGAGCAAGATTTTCTCTATACAATAGATGCAGCGTCTATCTACAATGCAGGCGGTCGATTATAGCGATAATAGAGATATCAATGACGTCATGGCTAAAATGTGGAGTTTTGTGGCAGATGCAATTATCGAGTGCGAAAGCAGGCAACTCGACCTATTATCCGATTTTGTGGTTACCCTTCTCGACGGCACTCATCTCGATAATCTTCGAGACAACGTCCTTGATTCGGTAATTTTATGAAATCAGACAAATGACATCGGAAACAGCTTGTTAGATGTTTGTCTACTGCGTTAATTATGCTATTTTAGGTCTTGATGTCCATCGCGGTTGCGTGCACTTGCATGCCATCTCGAGTGAAGATCAAACTCTGCCAGTATTTGCGACGGAGTGTCGAGAATCTCGATCGTTGCGAGGATTCAGATGTGTCCACTTTAACGAAACTGTTCAGTCGCTTGTTGGAAGATGAAAATCCCTGGGTACTCCAGGAAACTCTGGAGTCCTTTGAACGCATAGGACATACCTGCTCGAAGCGACTTGTTGTCAAACTAGCGAAAGGTCTGGCGAAGATACCCACCATCAGCAATATCATGCAGGCATATTTATCTTGTACACCGCACTATGTGCTGGAAGGTTTTCTGAATGCGTGCGACTATCTCGGGCATATATCTGAAGCAACCCAAGGCCATTGCGAGCACATGTGCTACGAACACGGAGTAAGTACAAGTGCGATAAAGCACGGGATATTGTCCTTATTTATAAAAATACTGACGTGATCAATGGATAATTTTGTAAGGAATCAGAAAGAGAGGAGAAAATCCCAAGACTGGAGGAGAACTCGCAAAATATCGCGCCGGTGTTGATACAACTGGATGAGCAAGCAGAGCAAATGTACAAACGACTAACAGAGGCTTTAGAAGGACGAGCTAATGTCAGCGAAACAGTCTGTAGAAAACTCATAACTGTCCTGGAAAAAATTCTAAACACTTCTAACTAAAATTTCGCAGAAACGGCATCATTAAAGTGATAAACTTAGAAACATTGTCCTAACGATAAAAATATTTTATCGCAAGAAGAAACGATAGTGATAATTTAGAGAACAGAAATAAACATATGTAAAAATATTGGCAGTAAACAGGAAAATAAAAAGAAAAATGATTGATGAATAAACAAAAAAAACAAATTAATGATTTAATTTCTATAAAACCCTCCTCTTGACCGTGTATAAGTGTATGTTTATATGTATGTATGCGCGCACAGTATTTTATATGTGTATATGTGCGTATGCGTGTGCATGTCGTATGCGCGTGCGTGTGCATGGGCGTGTGCGTGCGTGCGTGCGCGCGTGTGTGTGTGTGTATGTGTGTGTCGTATACGAGTATCTATGTGTATTAACGTTATATCATTTATTAATGTTATCTAAATTTCAATGTCCGTTGTCGATAATGAGATTAACAACATTGATTAACGACATTTATAAAAGAAGCCAAACGCGCTGTAGAATGCAGTCTAGTGCGAACCAGTTTCATGCATCTATTTGCATTGCAACTTCTTAGTAGATATTAATAAATAAAAGTGTGACGTTCCCACTTCCCGTCAAGTGTTACAGTGAGGTGTTACAGTCAGGTAAGTACGGTGATACCGTGCCATTGCTATAAACAAACAAATTGCTATAAAATATTCACAACAAAATGCATATTTTCATATGTTATCAACAATAACTTAATTTCAAGTTATAATAATTCATGACTAGCTAAAAATAGCATATATGCAGGGTTGGGAAAGTTACTTTTTAAAAGTAACTCGTTACCGTTACCATTACTTTCGGTAAAAAGTAACTCGTTACCGTTACTCGTTACTGATCTTAAAAAATAACGCGTTATCGTTACTTGAAAGTAACGATATTTTATTTCGTTACTTTCCGTTACTTTTTTTTGTTGTAAATCCAGGATTATAAGAAAGATGTTAAGTGTTCCCGTCGGGTTCAGCCGACGGCGATCGCGCGTTATCGCACAGCGCTGTGCGCGAAGGGCGCCAGTACGCGATCTGAATCACTATAGGAATAGGAGTGCAGAGAAGCCGAGCGAGTATGACGACACACAAAATAAGTTTATTCTATTGTACAAAGAAATAGCCGTACACGGCGGCGAACAATCGAGCGATCAAGCGGCGCTCGCGGACGCGACGTTCGCTGACGGCGCACGAAAGATAGATATGATGGCTAATCGGGCAATGCTAGCCACGCAAAATAACGCACTTTAAACGCATTGAGTGCTCGTGGTATTGGTGGGTACGATCAAGCATCGGAAAGTGACGTGCGTCCCAGGCGCGAAGAACAGAGAGCGACTTTACGAAATCGTAACCGAGTGCAACGATGTAGCCACGATGAAGTAAGCACCGATCGTGCGAACAGAGAATGAGTGAAGATCATGCTCGCTTGTTGCAATCGAAAAATAAAGACCGCTCGGTAGAAAGCCCAAATGCGCAGAGAGCGATGAAATTTCGGTCTCAATTATATCCTTTTTCAGTTCGAGCTGGCAGATAAGGATTGGCTGCAATCCTTATCTGCCAGCTTTGGCCGTAACACGCCGTGATCGCATGCTCGGGGTCTGCCCGACATACACGGCGAATACGCAGGAATAAACATTGTTTTGATCGTTCCTCGCCGGGGATCCCGTGGCCCAACGTTCGGCGACGAGATCTCCGCTAGCCGAGCACGCATGGATCACGCGCAAGCTTCGTGAGGTCGAAGCTAGAAGAATATTTAGATTCTTCCGGAAAACCGTTGTGCACGCTATGACTCCGAACACTAAGACAAGATATAAATCGGACATAAAACGATTAGAAATATATATATATATATATTTAAATATTTTTATTATTTTATGTTATTAAGTTTTGTACTTAATGAAAAGTTTCTTAATTAGTGGATATGAATTTAATATTTGGACATTAGTGCCTGTTGACTTTAAAAATCTTTGCCATTCATCATAGGCAGATTTCTCATTTGATGTTTGCTATTTAAAATTAAAAAAGTCATCGTTATTATTGTGCTTATCAGACATCAAAAAATTTTTAATTGAAAGAATTCCTTATAAATCTTCTAAATACGTTTGCGCAAGTTTTCACTTATCTTCAGCAAACCAACTCAATTTGGGATGCAAACAGTTGGCAATTATCAATTCTTCTTTTTCGAGTATAGTACAAAACCTAAAGTTAAATCAATAAAATTAAATATGAACATATTGATTTTTCTTTTTGATCAGATGAATGTTGTTTGATGAACATATGTATTAACCAAATTACACCAACTTACCTTTCTTTTAAACCTTTCTGTATAGCTACGGCCAATGGATGACAATATGTGAGTCTCTCTTTATTGGTTCTCATTAAATCCAGCACAAAACAAAAAATGCATAGAAATTAAATACAATTAAGTTTAATTTTATAAAAATTAAAAAGTAACGATTAAAGTAACGGACGTTTTGTTACTCGTTACAAAAAAATGTATCACCGTTACTTTTTCGTTACTGACACCAAAAAGTAACGGCGTTACTTAATCGTTACTCAAAAAAGTAACGAGACCAGTAACGGCGTTACAAGTAACGCGTTACTTCCCAACCCTGCATATATGCATACATATGTAGATATATATCAGAGTAGAGTAAATCAATTATTTTTCAAAATAAGCAAGTTTGAAGTTAAATAAATTTTAAGTGTAACTATAAGTAAGTTTGTAGCCTACAAAATTATTAAAAGTTACATAAAGGAAAAATAATTCAATTAAGATTAAATAAGATTTAATACCTTATTAAAGGTAAAAATTAATTATATAAAATAATATATACATATATCTTTTTGCAAAATTGATTTTAATCTTAGCTTAAAATTAAAATAATGAAGAAGTAATCTTTTACAAGGAAATACCGACTATTTTATTCAGAATTCCATACAAGGAAACATATGCTTGGGTATGTGAAGTTAACAACCCAACTTTAGTTCTCGATAGTTCTTATTAGAGTTCTAGCTTCCTTTTGAAGAGTATAAGAGTTCTTTTATATTAATAAAAAGAGTTCCAGCGATTAACAGTACTAAAATAGCAATTAATGGGGTGCTAACTTCACACCCAACTTCAAGATCAAATAGTTTTGAATAGCTCATTCGATGTCTTTTGACGAGTACTAGAGTTCCTGATAGATAAAAAGATATTCTGATTTTTTCCAAAAAATTAAAAATTTCGAAAAATTGAACATCAAGCTTGAATAGTTCTAAATGGTCTATCTGATTTCTTTCGATGAGTTCTAGAGTTCCTAACATAAGAAAAAAATAAAATTCACAGAATTGTTTAAAAAATAATTACTTGGTTAAAGATCCGGCGAGCGAAATTTGGCTAAGTACTGAGCGAAATTATTTTCAGAGTTCTCAGGAGTTCTGAAGGCAGTTTTGGATAGCATTCTAAGAGTTCTAAAAGAAATTTTAACGGTCAAAAGCGATCCGACCAACCGTTTAAAACTTATTTCACTTTAAAGATCCGGCAAGCGAAATTTGGCTAAGTACTGAGCAAAATTTTTTTCAGAGATCTCAGGAGTTCTGAGGGCAGTTTTGAATAGCATTCTAAGAGTTCTAAAAGAAATTATAATGGTCGAAAGCGATCCGACCAGTAATTAAAAAGTTATTTGACGTCAAACGTCAAACGTCTGTTACGGTAATACTGTTAGTAATTATTTTTTAAACAATTCTGTGAATTTTATTTTTTTCTTATATTAGGAACTCTGGAACTCATCGAAAGAAATCAGATAGACCATTCAGAACTATTCGAGCTTGATGTTCAATTTTTCGAAATTTTTAATTTTTTGGAAAAAATCAGAATATCTTTTTATCTATCAGGAACTCTAGTACTCGTCAAAATACATTGATGAGCTACTTAGAACTATTTGATCTTGAATTTGGATGTGAAGTTAGCACCCCATCTTTTAATTGCTATTTTAGTACTGTTAATCGCCGGAACTCTTTTTATTAATATAAAAGAACTCTTATATTCTTCAAAAAGAAACTAGAACTCTAATCAGAACTATCGAGAATTAAAGTTGGGTTGTTAACTTCACATATCCCATATGCTTACAGAGACAAAAAATTCAGCTAGTATTATTTTTTATATTTCTTATTCTATATTATAAGCAGTTCGCAATAAGTTTAACATTGAGTTATATATATAATTATAATAACAATGGATTATATATTTTATCTTATATATCAAAAAAGTAAATTAAAAAATTAATGTGTCTTAAAGTAATTAATTTAAATTAAAAGTTATATCACAGTTAAGTAATAGCTGATTTGTCGATTAAATTAAAAAGTTATCTTGTATATAAAATTAATAATTATTTAATATATATATTCAAGTATCACGGGATATTAAAAAACACTATAGCAATTTTATTGACCAAACATATCTTAGATAAGACGATCTTAAATAATACGGAACTGTAAACACAAATAGATGTAGTTCTTAATAAATAATTGTACAGAGCGCACCATCTGAAAAATTGTTTGAAGCAAATTCCTTAAGTTACCGACAAGATATTATTAATACGTGGCTTAACACTTAATTATATGAGACATGGTGCAATGCAGCTCGTGTATTTTATTACTTATTTTATTACTTATTTTGTATTTACGCTATAAAATATGTTTTTTTATAATATGTAAGAAATACATATTCTTTGAGACTTGCAGTTAATTCAAGTACTTTTCATTTCGTGAAGGGACAAAATCGCATCAGGTAATACTGATACATTTTATAATATCTTAAATGCAGCAATAACATATAAATAACGTATAAAAATTCGAAATATTTTGAAAGTTTAATAGTATGAGCTCAAACGATAATGAGAAAATTAAAAGATATCTTGTTAACGAGATATTCAATAAGATAAACAAACGATTTATAACTTTGGAAATTAAAGAAGTGAAAAAGACAAACGAACACTTAGACGAGGTATTTATTATAGACGAGGTATAAAAATTCTTATGTCATTAAGAATATGTGCATTCGTATAATCATTATATATATTGCAGATATTTACAAAGTTGATAGAAATGATGAAAGAGCAAAACTCATTGTTTAAGATGACATATAAAAAAATTGCATGGACTGGTAGTTTTTATAAAAGATGAAGGTTGCGTTTCCTGATGCGTTTGATTTAAATTTAATAAGCTAATTATCCAAAAAAGATGATATGAAGGTAATAGCAATGCACTTCTAATGAGAATCTTCTGATAGAAATGCTATGTTTTTTAATTAATAATTAGTAGTTATATATTATTGCAACTTAGCACAGATTTAAATTTACCAGGTTATATTAAAATACACACAAAAATTTACGAAAACAATAATTTAAATATGGATGCAAAAGCATACAGGTATAACTTGTATTACAATACAAAATTATTTTCTAAGTCTAGAAAATAAGAAAAAAATTGTTTATTTCTTGTTTAGTGATATGATGGATTTCATTGATGAAAATCAGTACCTATACTAAGAGAAATTTCGTAGATGGATTGAAAGTATCTTGAATAAAGTGGCTTCTACCACCAATAGAAATAATGACAAATAATGATAAAATTGATAATTATATTGTTATAATGTACCATAATAGATGTTTGGCAAAAATATATATCATTCAAAATTGAAACAAAAATACATAAATTTCTTTTTATCTCTCTCTCTCTTTCTCTAAACATTTTTCCTCGTACTTTTTAGATAAAAGTAAGCAAATCAGGCCCAGCATTTACATTATCTTTCCAAAATATTCTTCAAACATATCCAATCAATGTCTACTTAGTTCCTGTCTTAGCATTTAAAAGTCATGATCTTCCACCACAATGCTCTACATATCACACGCTACAAGTGCGTACCATAGTATTGAACATAGTACATAGCTGTATTACATATAGAAGAAATTTTATTTGCGCATACTAATTGCCATCATTTCGTAGGATAGAGATATTTTCGCGATAAAGATATTTTCCTAGTTTCCAAACCGTTAAGCAATAAAAATATTTTCTATGCAAATTCAAGACCAAGTCGTTCCTGACGATTAAGTTTTTATGAATTTGAAAAAGACATGCTCTCTAGATACGGACAAGCTAAACCATAATATGCCAGTTAAAGGTATAACAATATATTACGAAATCATAAACATTGATTAATTTGAAGTTTATTTTATTTCGTACTAATAGTAATTACATTCTTAAAAATTCAAAGAAACTCGGAATTGGAAAAGTATTGCCAGCTATTACATTGAAACATTATGTTTCCACCATTTAGAAAGATTTGAAACATTTACCAGAGAATCGAATACTTCTTTGTTGCTCACGGTAATGTTTTTAACATTGAAGAAAGATCCTCTTTTACGAAAATGATAATGAAGCAATAATACTTGCAGATGTTAGAAAACCTCCATAAAACTTTCGAGATCGGTTATATAAAACATTATTGGATCGAAAATATTAATGTACTGGAAAATATCGAAAAAGATGAAATGAAGAATATGAAAAATAGATATCATAAAAGACATCAGGAAACAAATAATAAGAGTAACCGAACGATTTATATACAGAGTGTATAAAAAGTACTGGGACGGTAAAATACCATAAAAACTAAACATTTTAGAAAAGAATATATCAAACAAAATTTTAGGGTTTCAAAAGATCTATTTACTAACATTATGAGTTTGACCTTGGGTGGCGTTGCCAAGGTCAAGACAAGGTCACCTTGAATTTTTTAAATGGAACCCCATATTTTTTACATATTCTTGTAGCCCTTCTTCATACCTTTTCAAAGCACTATAATTTTTTCCACTTTGATTAAGCCATTTCGAAGTTATCGAGCTTTTTGATAAGATGTCCAGCGAGCGGCTGAAGCAATTTCGTGACTGTATTTCAGACACATTTAATATTAAAATGTAATACTAATGTACTAAATTTATAACAGCACTAAAATTCACCTTCGAATCATTTCAAATCAATTGCAATGAATTTGACTTGAAGTAGAACATATTACTTATACATGATACGTGTTGTTTCATACGGAAAAGATAAATGATTTTTCTTACTGGTTTTTCTTTCTTTATTTTATTTTTCTTAATTGACTTTTCTTTATCGATTTTGTTATCTAATTAATACAAATTTCTATTTATTGAATAAATCTTTTTGTTTTCTAGCTTATTCCTTAGACTTTACTTTTTCTTTTAGAAATTAACATTATTTTCAAACGCTTTTGTAAGGATTTCCTCAATTTTTATTTTGCTTATTTCTGTACATTTTTTCCATTTAGTCCATTTTTAAATATTGCTGATAGTTATTCATTCGTTTCAAAATTTCCATCTCGATAATTTTTATCAATTAAAATGCAACATTTTACCGAACACTATAGAATATTTGTCTTGATGATAAGGAGCTGGAGTGTTAGATTAAGATCATATCAAGATGTAAAGGATCTTTTCAATGTAACTTTTCGAGATGAAAATATTCCTATTTCGAAATGTTGAAAGAACTGTAAGGTTGTTTGAAGAAACAGGAAGCGTTAAAAATCATCATAAAACAGGAAGCCTGCTGCAGCAGGCATCGATTAGTATATTGTCAAACAATGAATGGTGAACAATTTGAGCATTTGATACATTAATCGTGCTTTCAATTGCTAATTTTCCTTTACGATCATCTTGCCTTAGCTGGTTGGATACTTCTTTGATCTTGCTTTGGCTGGATACTTCCTTGATTTTGCCTTGGCTGGCTGGATATTTCTTTGATCTTGCCTTGGCTGGTTGGATACTTCTTTGATTTTGCCTTGGTTGGCCAAACATCTTATCATAAAAAGCTCGATAACTTCGAAATAACTTACTCAAAGTAGAAAAAATTATAGTGCTTTGAAAAGGTATGAAGAAGAGCTACAAGAATATGCAATAAAAAATAGGAGGTCCTATTTAAAAAATTCAAGGTGACCTTGTCCTGACCTTGGATGGCGTCGCCAATTTGTCTTACCCAATAGGAGAATTTGTTTTCTAATAGAAGTATTCTTCCATTAACCAAGACGAATATGTTCAGAAACTTATACCAAAAATTACGGACAATCTTACTGTTCGCAAACACATTTAGATAGTACTACTCATAAAAAAAATTACCAGTCTAGATATTAACTAACTTATTTTACTTGAATTTTTATTACAGTAAATCCGGATGAGATAGTTACAATAATGTGGCCGAATTCAACACATGAAGCAGAATCAGAATCAGATCTAGAACAAGAACTAGAATCACAGCTAGAAACTGGTCAGTGTTGGAAGTATATATTATTTTGAAGGAAAAAAATGATCAATGTCTACTTCTTCAACTTTTAATCATACAGGATGTCCGGTAATTATCTGCCAACCCGAAGTATGAGGGTAGATTGGATTAAGACAAATAAAAATCCCATACCATTTTACAAGATTCGCAATAATTATCGAGTTATTAACGACACAAATTTGAGGAGTGGGAGCGCGCCGCATATATGATTGAAGAAGTGTTGCAACTAGGGTTGGCAACTGTCCGGTTTTTACCCAGACTGTCAGGTTTTCAGAAGTCTTGTCCAGTATCCGGTTAATAAGTCAAACCGGACGTCATATGTCCAGTTATTTAAGTTATATCCAATCAATGGAATGAGAGTTCAGATTTTTTAGCAACGTTTCTCCATTTCAAGCGCCTACAAACGATCGAGCGCCACGAAAAGCCATCTAGTAGATGATCTGCCGATTCATCATTCCATATATATATTAATAAAGTAATAGTTTATTATTTTATTCGATCAAATCTTGTTTAAAAAATTGTTTAGAAATTAATATTGTAAATAAATTCTTGTCATATTTTGTATTTAATGTAATATTATGATTATTATTTCTGTCTGGTTTAGTCCGGTTTGGGTTTGTTACCAAAGAAGAAATGTCCGGTAATTTTAATTTTTGGATTTGGCAATCCTAGTTGCAGCTGCTCAGGCCACAGCGCGGCCCGATCGATCCAGCAACTGTTGCTAGTGCGTGGCGAGAAGAACGACAAGCGCACCGATATTCATTGTTTTATCTCGCTGCACCTACGTCTCGCTGCACGCCGCCAACAGTTGCTGGGTCGACTAGACCGCTGTGGCCTAAGCAACTGCGACGCTTCTCCAATCATCTATCTCAGCGCGCGCTCATTCGTCAGATTTGTGTAATTAATAACTCGATAATTATTGCGAATGTCGCAAAACGGCACGGGACTTTTATGTTTGTCCTAAGCCAATCTACCTTCATACTTCGGGTTGGCAACTTATAACCAACCATCCTGTATACATTACTCCTGGCCATTTTGGCCAGAACTCTGCGTTGACATTGGAACCGTACTTAATCAGTGATGGGAATTCGGTGACAGGCTTGGCAGAGAATCTTCCCCACCACACACATAGGATCCGCCGGCTCGGTCGATCTGTGAGGACCATGCACTCCAGCGATGTGAACTCGGTGATAGATTTGCCAGAGAATTTCCCCCACCACGCACGCAGGAACAACCGGCTCGGTTTGTCCATGTGGACTACGCGCTCCAGTGATGTGAACTCAGTGACGGGCTTGCCACAGAATTTCTCCCACCACACACGCACACACAGCCTTTCTGTGCCAGGTCTATCTGTGTTGACTACGCGCTCGGCAATCGTCCTCGCGCCAAGCGAGAGAGAGAATATCATTCCCTCCTTCTCGTTCTTGTGTTCGCTCAACGATGTGAGCGAGAATATCTCTCCCTCTTCCTCGCTCTCGCTCAACAACGCAAGCGAGAATACTATCTCTTCCTCTTTCTCGCTTTCGTTGCCGCTCAGCGACGCTGAAGCTAATACTATCTCGACCATAATCGGAATCGCGGACGCGGTTATAACGATACTGGGAAGTTCTTCCCATTCGGCACGCCGAAATTAATATGAATAACATTTTATTACTAATAATATTATTATTTGTAATATATATTATTTGTAATATTATCATTTATAATATTATTTGTAATTGTACAATATTATAAATTATATTATAAATAAATTATAAATAAATTATATTAAAATATATTATAAATTATAATATATAAATATTCTCTCTCCCCCTCTCTCTTTCCTTCTCTCTTCTCTTCCCCTCCCTTCCCATCTCCCTCTCCTCCTCCCTTTTCCAATCCACCTCTTCCTCTCTCTCTCTCTTCCTCTCCCTCTCTATCTCTCCCTCTCTGTCTCCCTCGAAAGAAGTAACAAATTGTTGCAATTTCCGTCAGTGAATCTTCCGGAGACCTTTTTATTAGAATTCGCTTCTGTTCATTTTATATATTAGGTGCTTACAATAATTCGTATGATATCTCTTTATTTATTTATTTTTATTATAATCGTCTTTATTTATTAATGACAATGAAATGATGTATAATATTTTAATAAAAGTATTGCCCGTTGCCATCAATAACATTTTGCATGGCAATAATTTAGTCCTGCGCTGACAAAATAATTCATCTCTTGAGGTAATCCATTTATCGATCAATTCTGCATTTCCTCAGCATTTTGGAATGTGTATCAGACAGATTGTGCCCAAGTAACACATGAAGCTTAAAAACGGCTGCGATAACGTTGTCGCAACTTAAATAGCAGCATCCCAAGTAACACATGAAACTTAAAAACGGCTATGATAACATTGTCGCAGCTTAAATAGCAGCATTTTTGTCTAGCGCAGCGACAACGTCATTGTGACATTTTGACAACGTTCTAGCAGCAAAAGTGAGAAATCTTTTTGAGCTTTGAAAACGTTGTCGCAGCTATATGACAGCTATCTTGCTGTAAAGAGATTGTCATAGCCATTTCAAGTAGCATATGTAGCTTTAAAACGGCTGCGATAACATTATCGCAGTTTAAATGGCAGCATTTTTGTCTAAAACATCTACTGTCACAACGTCATTATGATGTTTTGACAACGTTGTAGGAGCCATATTATAGCAATAATAATCGAAAGAAAGATAAAAATAACTAATAAACAGAGAACATTTTTTTATACGTAAATTAATATCTAATAAATTTAAATTTTTTAATTTGCTTAAATTTTAAAATATTAAAAAGAAAAAAAAAATTGTATTCAACTAGAATTGAATACAATTCTCAACTAGAATTGAACCTGTGACCGTTCAGAATCTTTGCTACAATAAACTAAGATTAAATTTCGAGATTAATTAATCATTGCAAATTGTTACACTTTATGACATATAAGTATATTAGCGTGGACGCAAACTTATAAGCAGAATTGGGAAGTAACTCGTTATTTGTAACGAAGTTACAGTTACAGTTACTATTTATTAGTAACTATAACTTAACTTCGTTCCATTTTTCCATCTGTAACTATAACTTAACTTAGTTACATTTATTTGGTAACTAGTAACTAATTTAATGGTTACTTTAATACTTAATTAATATATTTCAAACCTAAGTTTCTGGTAGCACTACAGATGTTTATAATATAGACATCTGTGGGTAGCATGATAATGCTACGTGCGATGCTCGATATCCAATAAGCATATTAGTTATTCTAGTTGCGTTCGGAAAGTGTGCTATTGTGCCATCTTTAACATTAGATGTAAAAAAAGGATAAAATAACGCAATAGCGCTGATAGTCTCCTCTTCGAACACAATCTGTATTACTTTCAAAATATTATATTTCTACTGGACATTTCCCTCCAGTGGAGCTCCTCGCCGAGGAGAGGCGGGTCCTCTATTGGAGGACCAAGGAGCTCCGCGAGGAGGGGGAGCTGACGGCCAGGGTCCTGAGAGGTCTGAAGTCCCAGGCCGTGGCCCGTACCCTGGAGATGTGGGGGGACATGTTGTCCGACCCACGGGGGTACGGGCGCGAGACAGCCGAGGCTGTCCGCTCTTGCCTGCCCGAAATGGCAGGCAAGCGGGGGTGTGGACTGACTTTCCATCTGGTGCAGGTGCTGACGGGGCATGGGTGCTTCGGTAAGTACCTGCACCGGATCGGGAAGGAGCTCACCACCCGATGCCACCACTGCCCCGTGCTTATGGACACGGCGCACCACACTCTGGCTGCTTGTCCAGCCTGGAGTGAAGAGCGCCGTGTCCTGACCGGGGCGGTGGAGTGCCGGAAGGAGGACATCTCGCTCCCGTACCTGATTCAGGCCATGTGCGGGAGCGAGGAGGTGTGGGAGGCGGCGGCCTCCTTCTGCAGGGACGTTATGTCCAAGAAGGAGGCCGCCGAATGGGAGCGTCGACCGAAGAACCGCCTCAGGAGGAGGCGGGGTCGGCGCTCCCCCGGAGGAGGTATTGGCAGCGGACCCGAGGTGGCACCAACCAAGGAGGAGGAAGGACCTCTGGACAACAGGGAGCCAAGTCCTCCTCGGCCGCCTCGGGCCCGACTCCGTTCGCGGGGGGGGGGGAATCTGGGGAATCTGAAAAGGGTCCATTGAAGGACTCGTCCGTGGTGGATCCCCTGGTTCCCCCGCGCGTCGGACAAGTAGGGACAGGGGGGAGTGGAACACCCAGTTGGGGCTGAGTCCACTCCCCCAAAATCCTCCCCTTCTTGACTAGCAGGGAGGGGAGGTAAGGAGGGAAGGTGGATGTCCCCTCTCTTCTTCATTGGAGATACCAGAAGGCCAACCGGCGGAGCAACCCTCCGGGGACCGCGCCCTGGATTCCCTTTGCGGAACAGGGCGCGATATACAGGTGGCGAGGGGCTCCCGAAAGGGAGTCCTGGTGCCGGGGGATTGGGGAGGGAATGCGGGAGCAGTTCCCCTGACTCCCCTCCTCACGGTCCGACAGGTAAACAACCCGCAGGGGTTTTAGTCAGTAGGAGTCTGACATAACCCTCGGTCCCCCCAAGAGCCGAGAGTATCCATGATGGATTTCCCTTGCGTGACCAAAAAAAAAAAAAAAGAAAGGCTGGAGTCCCATGAAAGGAATTTTCCGCGTAATGCGTAACCGCGTAACCAATCAGATGCGTTATAACACTACGCGAGAAAGTTCATAACGTTTCTGATTCGTAAAGTCGTATTATTTTTAAAATAATAGTCGTAAAGTCTTATGTCTTGTCTATATAAAAGTCGTAAAGTCGTATTATTTTTTAAATAATCGACTGTGTCAAATCTATCTGTTGTCAAATGTCTAACAGCAGGATCTGCCGCATATTAGACCGCAGTTTGGCAACACGATTTGATATAACAGATCCTGATATATTGGGTATGGGAATAAGTTTTAATCGTTTCCCCATAGATGGCATTAATAGTATCGCTTGCATCTTTTCTAACCTTTCGATACATGGATTTAAAAGGTGTATATGTAAGTTGTTAAACGCAGTATAAGACTTTTGTTTGGAGTGCAAACAGCAAGTATTCATATCGCATCGAAAATGTCAGAATTTGTTCCAAAAAAGCAGCATTTGCGGGAAGTTCTTCCCCACTACTATCTTTTGAAGAAAAATGCTGCGGAAACGTGCCGTTTGCTTGTGGATATTTATGGCGACTATGCTCCATCGGAGCCAACTTGCAGATATTGGTTTCAACGCTTCAAAAGTGGTGATTTCGATGTCAACGACAAAGAACGCGATGGTGCCCCAAAAAAGTTCCAAAATGAGGAACTTGAGAAATTGCTTGATATTGATCCATGTCAGACACTTGAAGAATTGTCTGCAGCATTGGATGTTGATCGATCCACCGTTGGAAAACGCCTACATGCGCTGGGAATGGTTCAGAAGGCAGGAAATTGGATACCACACGAGTTGAAGGAAAGAGACATTGAAAGGCGCTTGGTCACGTGCGAAATGTTGCTTCAATGACAAGAAAGAGTTTTTTGCATCGGATCATCACTGGCGATGAAAAATGGATTCACTACGACAATCCTAAATGCAAACTAGCATGGGTGAAGCCAGGTGAACCAGGTCCATCAACGCCAAAGCGCAATATTCACGGGTCAAAGGTCATGCTCTGTATCTGGTGGGATATGCGGGGTGTAGTCTACTATGAGCTGCTGAAACCGTCCGAAACTATCAATTCCCAACGTTACCGACTTCAACTAATGCGTTTGAAACAAGCTATTCAAGAAAAACGGCCGGAATGGCGCGATAGACACGAGAAGCTGATTTTGCAGCACGACAACGCTAGGCCACATGTTGGTCAACCCGTCCGGACATACCTAGAAGGTGTGAAATGGGAGGTCCTACCCCACCTGCCGTATTCACCAGACATTTCCCTTTCAGACTATCATTTGTTCCGGTCGATGCAGTCGGTACTTACTGGAGAGCGCTTCACCTCATATGACAGCATATAAAAATGGGTCGATGACTGGATCGCCTCGAAAGAAATAGAATTCTTCACTCGAGGAATTCGTTTATTGCCCGAAAGATAGGCGAAGGTTGTCGCTTCAGATGGAAAATATTTTGAATAAAATCATTTAATATGATATTTTCATATTCAAACTATGTTTTTTGTCTACATAAAAAACGATTAAAACTTATTCCCATACCCAATAGTATTTTATTTTTTATTATTAAATATTTAATTAAAATTTAAAAATTAAAATTTAAAATTAAAATTATTTATTAATTATTTATTTATTATTATTTATTTATTTATTTATTTATTTATTTTTTATTTAAAATTAAATTTATTAATTAATTATTTTTTTTTTCTTATTTAAAATTAAAATTATTTATTAATTATTTATTTTTAAATTATTTATTCGAAGTATTATTCATTATTCAATATATTTATAATAAAGTAACGTTGTAATGTATAATATTTTATATTCATAATAAAGTATAATTTATATTATATTTATATTCATAATAAGGTATAATATAAATTAATTTGAAATTTACACAATTACGAAATTTAAAATAATAGCACATTTATTATAGAAAAGTAACTGAAAAGTAACGACTCGTTACTTTTT